TGTCGTTTTTGCGAATTTCTTCGTCCAAGGGCGATAGACTCTTTTCCACTGTGTCTGGCAACTTTATCCGAATTTTGCGATTAAAAAGTAGCTGTGCTGGAGGATATTTTGTTGTTGTATGTGGAGTGGCACGGTAATTTAGAACGAATCTGTAAAGCTCTTTCTTCCAATTTCTCCCCTCCACTTGTGCTGCTTTGATGGCTTTAGTCATTGGTTTGTTAAAGTTCTCAGCTTCGGAATTGGCTTGGGGCCACAACGGTGTTATGGGTTGAAAATGTATGCCATTTTCTTTCATGTAATCCTTGATGTCAGCACTGTTAAATGGTGGGCCATTGTCACTTTTAACTACGTGGGGCAATCCATGTGTTGCGAAAATTCGATCGAGTTTAGCAATTGTCGCAGAGGCTGATGTGGAATGCACAATGTCCACTTCTGGGAATCGAGAGTAAGCATCGATGACCACGAGAATATATTCTCCGGTAGGAAACGGTCCACAGTGATCAATGTGTACAGTATGCCAGGGCTTCGGAGGCAATTCGTTCATATGTAATGGGGCAGGCCTATTTTCCGGACCAATGGCTTGGCAGGGTAAACAATTTGCAAGCACATCTTTGACAGATTTATCGATGTTAGGAAACCAAATTTTCTCTCGTAGAAGTTGTTTGGTTTTGACGATCCCTTGATGTCCTTCGTGAGCAATTGCTATGGCTCTATGGCGGAGAAATTTAGGAAGAACAATTCGTGATCCTCGCAGAATTAGGCTTGCATCATCATTGACAGTTAATTCGCTTCTTATTTTAGCAAATAAGTTTAATTCCTCTTTATCAACGTCAGGTGATTGCATACTTCGAATGTTGTTCCACGAATTATCATGAATAAGGCGTATGAGAGCTTGCAAGGTTTGGTCTGCGAATGTGGCATCTTGAATTTCTTTGTAGTCCATAGACTTCGGAACAGCATGACGAGCGAGAAAATTGACGTATTTGTCGGCTGTTGATGACTGAGATTTACTAGTTGTATCCGTAAAGGTGTGTCTTGACAAGAAATCCGAAGGGTTTTGAGCTCCTTGTTTATAAACAATTTCAAAATCGTAATCCTGAATACGTAAATTCCAGCGTTCAATTCTAGCGGGTGGTCGTGATTTTGGGTTAGACAAAATAAGTTCGACTGGCTTGCAATCCGTAAAGAGCTTGAATTTTGCACCATATAAGTAAATGTGAAGGCGTTCAATAGACCATACTATAGCTAATGCCTCTTTTTCAGTTTGCGAGTACCTTCTTTCTACATCTGAGAGCGATCGGCTTACGTAGGCTACGACTTTTCTGTCTTCTTGGCCAGGTGTAATTTGCGATAAGATAGCCGAAAGGCCTGTAGGCGAAGCATCCGTAAACAACTCAGTTTGTTTTGTCTGGTCAAAATATGCCATCACCTTGTCACTAGTCAATGCCAACTTGATGTTATCGAACGACTTTTGTTCCTTAGGGGTCCACCGGAAAACACTGTTTTTCTTTGTTAAGTTTCGCAAGGGCTCGCTGATATCACTGAATTGTGAAATAAATTTTGCACAGTAGTTTGCCATCCCTAAGAAACTGCGAATATCCTTGACTGACTGTGGCGGCGGGGCGTTGTGAATTGCATGAACTTTCTGGGGGTCGGCAGAGATTCCTTTGTCAGAAAACACATAGCCAAAAAACGTGATCTCCTTTTTGTTTAACTCGCACTTTGCCTTGTTTAACGTCAACCCCATATCTTGGAATCGTTTGCATACCGCATGTAACGCGCGGTCGTGATCGTTTTGGGTGTTACCATAAATGATAACATCGTCGCTGATATTTACGGCACCCTCAATATTCCGAATTTGTTCGTAAACGGCGTTCTGAAAAATTTCGCTTGCTGACGACGTTCCAAAGTTAAGACGTGTATATCTTCGTAACCCTTTATGAGTAGCGAAAGTAGTGATGTGACGGCTTTCTTCTGATAAAACGAGTTGATGGTAACCAGAGCGAAGATCTAACTTGGAAAAAACTGTAGCACCATTTAACGCGTGTATAAGGTCGTCGATGGTAGGGCTAGGGTGGCGTTCCCGTTGAATCGCGCGGTTAGGCATTCTCATGTCCACGCATAAGCGAACAGTTCCGTCGTTTTTTGGAATTACGACCAAGGGTGATATCCAGGGGGTACTTGTTTCTGCCACTTTTTCAATAATGCCTTGGTCTTCCAAATCACGCAGAGTTTCCGACACTTTCTTCCGCAAATGAAATGGTATACGTCGAGCGGGCTGAGCCACCGGCGGAACGGTGCTATCGATATGCAGTTTGATTTCACGGTCTTTAAGCTTTCCTATTCCATCAAATAGTTTTGGGTATGTGGCTTCCAAATTCTCGGTAGTGGCAGGGGTAGATTGTCCTGTTTTCACTGCATTTAGCTTAATCTGAATCAAATTTAAGTCAGCAGCCGTTGTGTAACTGAGCAAAGATCCAGAATTTCCCCGAACCACATGTAGGCAAACGGGCGCGATTCGGTCCTTTGTTTCGATCGTGGCATGAAATTTTCCCAAAACTGGAAGCTGTTGTTCAGAACCATATGCAAAAAGCTTTGTCGTTGAACGAGAAAGATGGATATTCTTAGCTGCCTTGACCTGATGAAATGTTGATTCATCCAAAATATCGATCGATGCTCCTGTATCCAAAATCATTTTCACAGGGGTGTTATTAATTTTTACACGGACTTGTGGCATCTTTATTTCGCGTTGATCATCGCACGTAAACAAATAACCTTCGTCGCTGCTAGACTCTGGAGTAGGCTCTTGTGTATGTTGAGGTGCTTTTCCCTGTACATGATGTATTTTTCCTTTTTGATTTGCGAATTTATGACCTCCTTTCTTATGGTCTTGCGTAAGCGGGTCATTAACGGCACGCGGTTGTTTCGCGCGGCTTTTACAGACTTTAGCAAAATGTCCAACACGCCCACATTTGCGACAACTTTGAGTCTTGGCGGGGCAAGGGGAAGTACGGTGAGGCCATGAAAAACCACAGTTGAAACAGGTTTTCAGCTGAGGCTTACGAACCAGCTGGGCAGTTTCTACCTGCATGAGACTTTCTTCTATATCTTTAGCTTGTGTATCGCTGGCTTCCAGAATACGTGCTTTTGATAACAACACGGCAAGTGTAAGCTTCTCTTCCCGCAAAGCAAGCCTTCTGAGTTGCTTAGACGAGCAGTTTTGTATAATCGCAGATTTAATTTCCTTATCTAAATCTGTAAATTCACAATTTGTAGCAAGTTTGCGAAGTCGTGTAGCAAATTGATCAGTAGTTTCTCCAATCTTCTGTTTGGCTTGGCGAAATTGAAAAATTTCAAAGTCGACATTTTTCTGCGGGGCAAAGTAAGTGTCAAGTTTTGCCAACGCTGTCTTGTAATCTGTAGCTTCATCTTGCTCAACTGGGAGAGAATCGAAAATTTCTTGAGTGGCGGCACCTGCTTGGTACAACAGTAAGGCACGTTTCTGAGCATCATCAGTTATATTTACGGCAAGTAAATATGTTTCGAAACGGCGTTTCCAATGTTGCCATCGTTGGCTTATGGACGTCGGGTCGGACACTGGGTCGAACGGTGGAAGCGGTAATAAATCTAATCGTGCTGCCGTCGCCATCTTAAATTCTGAAACTTAACAGAAATGGCATGTGCTTTCCCTCCACGTTATCTGCTTTTTGTTTTAATCCTCGTCGCCAAATGTTATGTTGTTAAAAAGGGCCTAATCATGTGCTCACATGTAACACGGTTTACTCCCTCGCCTCGTGCTCTACAACTAACTCTAAGTACCGTTACGTCATAATAATATGTTAATTTATTCAAAACATTACACTTGATTCATTTTGTATCTGAAAAGGTCTCTACTCTCTTCCCAACGTTTATCGAACTGACGATTTGTATGCGTGATCGCGTGTGAGCTCTTGCTATTCATTCCAAGAATTTAATAGCAAGGCTGTCAGATATGCGTATTTCACAATAGCCCGTTGCGTCACACCATAGCCACACTATGGCGCAACTCCTATTAGTTTCCTCCGTTTGCTATTCAGAAGGGCCAAGTAATAGCATGGCCATCGACGGCCACAGCGTGGATCAGAAAGGTATACACGCGGCATTCTTTGAATAGATTAAGTCGGGCAATCGCAATATCAAAAAGCACAGAGGGGTCAAATAAATCATGGAATGAAGAAACTGGATAAGGAAATCAAGATCCAGAAAAGATTTTACTCGTATAATTTATGTTACATTAATTTGTCTAATACAAAAGCAGAACATTTCTTTGGAAAAAAATTGCTATTAATGAAATAGCATAAATAGCACTGTCCGCCGCCTCTGTCAAATGTTGATAGTAAACACTTGTGGGCATAAACACATTTTTAGGGACTGCAAGGAAACTTTGTATTTCGAAAATCAAATACTGAGAATTTGACTATAGCTCGAGCTACAGTTGCTATAGTCTGGATCCGCTCCTGCAATTAACTTTGGAAAGACAAGAACGATGCTGACCTCAATGACGGAATGACGGAATGTCTCAACGCGCCTACGCAGAGGTCACGTGATTTGAATGTTACTAAGGTTCCTACGAAATGAAGTACCAAAATCAGTCGCACTCCTACGCGAGATAAACTGGCAATCTTGTGACAATCGCTGAAAAGGGGGAGCCTGAAGGGTAAGGAGGATCGAGACCCCCTTTTTAAACAATATATCATCCTTTGTCGATTGGAGCGTAGCGTTGCCGTGTAAACAGAAGTAAATCCATTTCTGAATGAACGAGTATTTAAACTGGATAAAACCACTTCAAGTTACAAAATTTGTTTATAAATGTGTGTCCAGTGATACAAAATGATTCTGTTATCACGTAATTCTGTAATTTTCGTATCATTTTTTCGTCAGTGAAACAGAAACCAAATGAATCCGGTGTGAAGTGAACAGCTTTCTATGTTTAATGTTTTTTATGTTTGTTTTCCTTGCAGGGTTTCATGTACTATGTTAATGACGGTGTCTACGGGTCTTTCAACTGTATTAATTTTGATCACAATTCTCCTGTTCCAGAGCCTCTTGAAGTGAGTCTCCATTCAATTTTTTTTTCTCTTTGGTTTTTTCAATGAGCAACTGTAAAATTTCTTTTAGATTTCCCTTGCGTTGAGTGGATTATTAACGATACTAAAGTAACTTTTTAAGTGGTCTTGTTGAGGGGTTCCACGAGGGCATACTGGAAAAAGCAGACCCTATGACTCTAGGACCCCTATGACCCCTAGGACCATTAACTACGAAGAACCAAAAAGGAACCTTAACTACTACATGATTTGCTGCTCCCCCAGAGCCATGCCTTTTTAATGCTATAATGTTGACAGCTTTGGAAGTGATTTTTGATGCTCGCGTCCATTATTCGAGGTAAATATAGGACGATAGAATTGCATGATTTTCACGACAGACCTTTGCAAGATGACATCCTCACAGCAACCGGAACTTTGTAGCAGTGAAACCGACTTGCAGTTTCGTACTTTACTGGATAGATTAGGCAATAATTTTTTTCCACAAGCAAATATAATTTTTCAAATGCCGATTTAATTGGTATTCACCTTTCTGATTTCTGTCTTTATGTAATTTGCGCCCCTAATCTTTACGTGCTATTTTAAAAAGCTCGTTTTCTCTTCCAATGTAAATATGAGGCCCTACAAGGGGGGTATTATTTCATATTTCATTACGAAATCTTGACATTATTTCATATTTCGAAATTAACACATAAAATATTTCAAAATTATCAAAAGACCCATCCTTCTTCCAATTAAGGAATTGGATTTATTAATTCTTTGATACCAACTAAACTGAAGTATATGCTTGCTACTTGCTCTATCTATGAATAGCTTGGTGGGGTTCTGGAAACACTTAAAAGACACTCTTTCTACTTTGGCTTAGAACACTTCTATATACGGTAAAAACTGCTTTAAAGAACCAACTTTTTCAGAGTTTGGCAAAAACAGGTTCTTGTATTATAGGGTTACTTTCTGACAGTTTAGGCTAAAAAGGTTCTAAGTTAGTTCTTAAATTCAACAGAGTATATAATGTTTTTGATTATCAGAAAATCTGGTCTGTTCTTCATTCTAAATAATTATCAGTGTACCAATGTTACCAAAAGCCCATCAATAATTGATCAGTGATACAGTGCTGTATATGAAATAGTAGCAGTAATTGTCATGCATGATCTTACATCATTATTATACGGTTGTTCACATTCACAAGCCTTACCCAGTCTTTCACGCATTTGAACGATGTTGTGAAAGCTATTTAGAAACATAAGCGTACGGGCCAGGGGGCTGGGGGGCGGCAGCCCCCCAGTTTTCGAAAGAGTCGGGCAGAAATGACACTGGAAAGTGATGGGACTTACTTTAGGTAATTTGATTTAACATTCGTGGTATCTTCAAATAACCCAAAGACTGCAAGCTACGAGTCAATATCGTTGCATTATCAAATCTACCAAGAGTGCCTTAAAAATGATAAGATGGTTTTTGAAAATTACAAGAAGCAAAGCGCTTCTAAATCTTATGGTAATAATGCAGCAATGCTTGTCCAGAAGATGTTTCAAGAAGGTTTGCATCAAGTACTGCCATTCCTGTATGAAACAACATCATTGCTAGCGATGATTCCAACAACATCTTGCTCAGCTGACAGATCATTCAGTGGCCTTCGGACGGCTGAAAACATATCTCAGATCAACCATGTCCCAAGAACGGCTGAGATCTGGCACTACTTAGCATCGAGAGGAAATTTTCAGACGAAGTTTTTAAAAGAGACATGAATGCGATGATTGATACATTTGGACATAGAAAAGGTCGGGACCCACATTTTATTTGACTGTAGTCAAATTCAAGAGTTAATAATAGTATTTTTTAGTGATATTAAGTAAAATATTGGAAAATATTATACATTGCTGCCCTTATCTATGAGAAACTTAGATCAAACTTTTAGATCTGAACAGTAGACATTATAGAAGAATCGATAAGGATAGCATGTCCCACCAAACATGTCTCTGATTGGTTTGCTCAACTCTCAACTGACTATTTTTACTTTAGATATTTCGGTGAAAAAGAACTCGTAATGTAAATATTCCTATGTCAAGTTCCTTATCACCAACAGGCTCATAAATATATGCATGCCTCTGTACTCGGGCAAAAATCCTACCACCCCCACTGTAAAAATTCCGCCGCACTCTTATGTTTAGAAACATATGCTTTCATCCAAATACCAGTTTTCTGAGAATGGTCTCGGGAGCATGAAACTTTGTGAGCCTTTAGTTTTGTGCTTGAAGGTGCACGCCGTAAGTTACACCACTGAATCTATCTTAGATGAGGTTTCTGGCATCCCTAGAATATGTGTTTTCATAATTTCTCTTACCGCCAACCATGGGGATGGCCTTAAAACTTTAACAATCTTAATGTTTTGGCCCCTCCAATTTCAAATACGTCTTACTGGTCATGAAGGTCATTACTACTCCAAGTTTAGGAAAAGGAATATTGTCTTTCTCATCATTTCTCGGAGTTTTGAATTCGACAAATATCTAAACAACTCAATACTCGCTGTTTTGTGGGGCTTCTGCGATCAAATTAATAATCCTAACACAGAATTTAATAAAACACTCCGTTATTTTGCTATTTTGATATTTCATTCTGGGAATCAACATTATTTCATATTTCAAAGTTAAAAAACCTAAATATTTATATTTTTCCTACAAAAATCGCAAATTATTTCATATTTCAAGTACTAAGATAATAAGTATTTCAATGATAATAGGGCCTCAATTATAAATGAATTTCTTTTTTCTCATAAACAAAACTCATAAATGACGGCCCTGAGACAACATCTTTGCCCTAAGAATCTCTCGCGCGCAGAAATTTGATCAAAGTCAGTGGAGATTGGAATGAGTAGAATTTTGTACGAACGCTACAAAACAATGTCAGTGTAGATTCTGCTTTGTGTTCCTCCTGTGTTAAAAGGCATGGCTCTGGGGGAGCAGCAAATCATGTAGTTCCTTTTTGGTTCTTCGTAGTTAATGGTCCTAGGGGTCATAGGGGTCATAGGAGTCCTAGGGTCATAGGGTCTGGTTTCTCCAGTATGCCTTCCACGAGCAGAGCAAGTTAACGTGACAGACGAACCATTCACAGGTTTGTTGTTGGAAGATGTAAGGTTGATCTTGTCTGGTATGTCTGCAAGAATAAAGTGAGTTACTAAGGAGCAATGGAATGATATGAATGAAGAAGAAATTACTAGTTGACACAATGATAACAGAAGTAAAAAATAAGAAATGCTGACGACTTTGAATAATAGTAAAACAATTTCGAAGTAAAAAACTCACGATTGACAGTCAATCTGGGATTTCCAGTGACTGGTTGCCCAATTCCGTTGCACGCAGCGCACGTGTACATTCCATCTTGATCAGCCGTGATACTGCTTAATGTTATATTTCCGTTATATTTCGGTAATGGAAAGGCCATTGGCATTTGTGATGGCGAGAGATGGAACAGGGTTGGCAGCTAAAACTTTGCATTTGATAACAGCAGTTTGTGTCTCATTCACTGTATTGGGTATTGCTGATACCATATCTTGAGGTCGATCTGAAATTTTATGACGTAACATGAGAAAAATCGGATCTATAGAGTGAATTTTTGAAAGTTGTTATGTGTATAATTCTAAACGGGCGTGAGTTTTTCGGCATTGAAATTGAATGGGCATCACAAAATGGCACTCACTTACAATGTAAATGTGTTACGAATTGATTGAAATATGGCCTTCCCTAAAACGAGTTTAGCAAAACGACCAATGTTATCCTCGCGATCAAAGGACAACGAATGAAAAGGGAAGAGTTCCGAGTTTCCTTCTGCCTTCAAAAAGGAAGAATTAGCTTCTATATATTCTACATAATGGTGGCATGTTACGATTGACTACACATGTATAACAAGGTTAGGATTGACAACACGGATTTGGCATGCCATAACAACCTCAGCTAAAATGGGTCGGGAACAAGTTTTATTCCATCAAGTGGAATTTTTTCTATACGGACAACACCCACAATGTCTGCGAAATAACAATTTCGGTCCAACATCAATCTGCTCAGGAGATAGCCTCTTTTGTGTTACTTTTCGAAAAGAAAAGAATGATATATAATGCAACGCAAAATGCTGTATGGTAAAGTATTTGTGGCAGGCACATATCCATATTGTTCTACGTTTTAAAATTCTGATTAACTTCTACCATAAAGCAATGTGATTTTAGAAGTAAATATTTAAACCAAATCGAATAAATGTTCATCGAGTATATATTATGAAAATGAACATTTATTAAAAAAGCAAGAGCTTATAGGTTGTTTACGTCAATTCTATTCAATTACGTCAATATAATCAATGGGATTCTTAGACTTCGCTGTAAAATTGCAACAAATTTGCCATGAAATGTTGCTATGACCCTGTGTGCATATCAATGTTGACCAATTTGTTAACATTCGTGAGCAATATACCTTATTTGATTTTAATATACATTATTTTAAACGTAAACCCGTTTAAGTGCATTGTTTTTACATCTAGCCTTCTGAGGGAAGAAAACTGTTCCCATCAATAATATGGGGGCCAACCTGCGATTCAGTGGATTGTATTAAAAAGGGCACAATGCTTCCAGAGGTGAGTAACCTTGCCTTTCTTTAGGAGCATGTTCACTCGCAAACATGTGCTTGTCTCCAGCTTTAACCGCCAAGCATTTTCCATGGGCCTTTTCTCCATCATTTTGCTATTAGAAAGTAGACATTTGCAGTCTGTGTAATTTAAGGTCGATTTGAGAAATAAATATAAGGTTTCTTTGTACCCGCAACTGTAATTTTCTTCAAAGAATCAAACATTAATTTCTGCAAAGATAATTTTGCAAATATAATAAGGAGCTTCCATTGTGATGCTACGAAATTTAGAGTGTGCCTCCGTCCAGCGGTCTCGTGGTCACGCACTTATTCCAGCCCTGGAAAGAAGTCGTTGCATATTGTCGATGTTGAGGTTTCAGTGGCACAGCTTGTAACAATTGAGACATCCAGTTGGAGTGCAATGAAGAATGCATTTGAGAAGAAAACATGCCTGGACCATTTTTTAAAGCATTTTCTCTCCTTATATACTCTATCAACGATGAGTCAAAAAGTAAGATCAAAAAAAAGGTGTACGACAGGGTTGCATCCTCTCACCGATTCTATTCAATATGTATAGCGAAGAACTTATCCGGGAAGCTTTAGATGACACAAGAGGAATCAAAGTAAATGGTGTCACAATAACTAACATTAGATATGCAGACGACACGATCATCATCGCAGAAACAGAACACGATCTCCAAGTAATGATAACAAGTTCAAATGAAACATGCAAGATCTACGGGATGGATTTAAATGCTAAAAAGACCAAAGTAATGGTCATCGAAAAATTTCCGGGAACAAAAATCCAAATAACATCAGGAAAAACTGTTTTAGAACAAGTAAAAAGCTACTTTTATCTAGGATCATAAATCACAGAGGATGGACGCTGCACAGATGAAATATGAAAAAGGACAGCAGTGGCTAAGATTGCATTCCAACGACATAAAGAATTGTTCAACAGTAACATCAACAGGAAAACGAAAATGAACCTCCTGAAAACATATGTCTGGTCTGTTTTTATTTATGGATGCGAGGCATGGACTATTAAGAAATAAATGATGGACAGGATTCGGGCATTCGAGATGTGGTGTTATAGAAGATTGTTGAAGATCAGGTGGACAGATAGGGTTTCCAACGAAGAAGTGCTACGAAGAATGAATGAAACCCCTATGTTTCTTACCATCACAGGATTTTAGAGTTCCTACTTCATAACCTTGATATACAACAGATTCAACTGATTTTGAAAATTTAGGAATATTTTGTGGTGTTTTTCAGGTTATGTTGTGAGAATTCTATTATTCTGAAAACCGATTTTTTGATGACATGACTTTACACATACATATTCTTTGTCAATCGGGATACATTTTTATCTTGAAAAGGTCGCCAGAATATCATTATATTCATTCATTGTTTGCCATAGATGGAAGTCGGTGGCTGGATATACTTTGTCAACATGGGTGCTTACACCTTATCTGCTGCTTCCACCTTTAATGGATTCATGAAGCCTCGTGTTCATTACGTAGTTGGTGAAATGCATAGCCCAGTACTTCGTCAGTACTATCGGCCGTTGAAAGAAAACCGAGGGCACGAGTGCTTCATTTTGGAGGATAAACACAAGCTTGATCACGTAATTAAGTCAACAGAAAACATTTTTCTCATTTAAACAAACTGAACTGTGAGTGCGTGTCTAAATTTTCTCTATTTATGATAATCTATTTATAATAATGCAAAACGAATCCCTGTTTCAATAATACCTTCTCTCGACATAGGGATTTCATTGTCTTTTCTTCACATAGATTATTATCTGATAACTGAGCAAGTGCTATCGCTACTCAATCAGCCAAGCTTTGGAATGCTCCTATTCTTGTCCTTCAACTTTAAAGCCATCCTAAGTTTCAACATCCAGTAAGACTTTCATTTCGCAAGGTTTGGCAGTTAGCTTATGATTCTTTGTGATGATACTTTGCTAGCTGGTAGCCGTGTAATTGTTGTGCTTGTATTTGCATATCCTATATTTTGGATCAATTGTTTAGCTATCTTGAAAAATCTTGATGTTACAAGGTATGTCAAATGAGTCTAAAAATAACACTTGGGGACAGTTTTCAGCTTGTGTCTGTTCAGCATCATTATCAACGTATCAAAATGCCCCAGTGTACCAATTTTCATGCTGGTACCACAATTTGCAAAATTCATGTCAAATACTGTGCTAAGAGCCCAGACTATGGTTCTAACATGAATTGGTATCAGAAATTCCTGCTCAAACTTGAATATTCTCAGTGAAAAGAGTCACACAATTTTGGCAAAGTCACAGAATATGGTACATTTTACGCATCCCAGAATCAGAGATAGGGCCCCAGTTTCTACTTTCAAGAACACACACGATATACATTGGACCAACTGACTGTGCCCGCCGGGGACTTGAACGGACCTTTCACTAATGCGTTTGTTACTGAAGAGACACTAAGGAAATTTTCTCGCGGAACTGGCAGTCTCCTTCGCAGTTGATATTGTTCATCACAGGAGCTTGAGCTTTTTGCATCAAGACCAAGTAAACATTTAAGGAATTCTCAATGAATGGTCCTCCAACAACGTCCAGAGTTATGTTATTTTACTTAGTTTCTAAAGGCAGAATATCTGTGCCCCGTGGCCCCCCTGGCTCCGGCGGCCCTGATTCATAGAGAACAGTAATGAGATAAAATTGCTGACATTCATGTTCTGTAGAAAAGGCATGAGTACCCCTGGTTTTTTTGCAAGGGGTATTGCTGAGGTGGGGGACTACTTTTGTCTTTTTCAGCAAATTGAATTGCGCGGGTTTGCCAAGTTTTTTGGCCTGTATAGGAAACTATATGAAAGTTACCATGATATCATGTTCCATGGACTGGGCACAAGTAGCCCAGGCTAAAAGAGGGAAAGAGATATCTTGGAGGTGGGGGACACCTTGATCTTTTTCAGCAAATCAAATTATGTAGGTCTGCCAAGTTTCATGGCTGTTTCACTAACTGAAATAAATTTGCAATAGAAGCATCTTCTGGGTACTGGGCACAGAAACCCCATTCTAAAAAAGCACAAGGGGTGTTTCTGAAGTGGAGGGGTTTTTCTTTATAAACTGGGGTGTTTCTTCTTAAACTAGTGATATTGAATTGTGATGGTAAACGGGGATTTGCCGCTGTTTTTTTGGATAAAATGGGGGTTAAATCAAGAGAAGTTCCTGCTTATTCTCTGTGAAGAAGAAACGTGGCTGGAATGACGCTTTTAACAAAATGAATCTGGTTCAAGCAGTGAAATATGAAGGATATTTTATCACTTTTAGTAGAAATACGTTTAGAGTAGTAAAATGAGCTTTAATTTGTCACGTAGCGTCTAATTACCCCCATGTCCTTATATGGATAACTTATTAATAATGGGAAAAGCCAGATCATCCTTTGACATCAGACATTCATTCTAGCATGCAATCAAAACTTTAAGAAAAGACTGTCTTGGTACTCAAACAATAAAAAGGGACTTTTTTGTTCTTTTTTGTCAACCTACATTGACAGTATAAATTGGTCTTAAAGAATATTGCTATGCTAATACAAGAAATGAACGTGGAATCTTACTGAGGAAGTCAAGAGCTAGAACAACAAGTATGAGTGATAGGTAGGAACAGCACAAACGACGAAAAGCAATCCATTACAAATGAATAGAATATAGTAAACCATAAACTAGCAATAAGTTATAATTTTGATAAGACTTAATGTAACTAATTGTCTTTCTTGTCTCGTGAAGTATAGACTCTTGCTCCGTATCACTCTTGCTCCGTATCACTCTTGCTCCGTATCACTCTTGCTCCGTATCACTCTTGCTCCGTATAACTCTTCATCCGTATCACTCTTGCTCCGTATCACTCTTGCTCCGTATCACTCTTGCTCCGTATCACTCTTGCTCCGTATCACTCTTGCTCCGTATCACTCTTGCTCCGTATCACTCTTGCTCCGTATCACTCTTGCTCCGTATCACTCTTCATCCGTATCACTCTTGCTCCGTATCACTCTTGATCCGTATCACTCTTGCTCCGTATCACTCTTGCTCCGTATCACTCTTCATCCGTATCACTCTTGCTCCGTATCACTCTTGCTCCGAATCACTCTTGCTCCGTATCACTTTTGCTCCGTATCACTCTTGCTCCTCCGTATCACTCTTGCTCCGTATCACTCTTGCTCCGTATCACTCTTGCTCCGTATCACTCTTGCTCCGTATCACTCTTGCTCCGTATCACTCTTGCTCCGTATCACTCTTGCTCCGTATCAAAAGTGATCCGTACGTAGCAGTGTGAACGGGGCCAAAGTATGGCAGAAAAAACAAAAAACGCTAATTTCGCTTGGTTTCTCAAAACACGTTCTCCACCGAGGGCAATGGTTACCAGTGTCGTCGAGTAAAAGAGAAGAAGAGAACGGCTCTAAAATCAAATGTAACATTTGCAAAAAATGTCTTCCCAGCATGAAAAATTAAGTATAAGGAAACCCAAACATAAAGTTCATGACATCATAATTAAGAAACTCTTAAAAAACAACGAGTTTTGAAATTTCCAGAACATTAGGAAACTGGAGTACTCAATTTCGACCTTTGTTTCTCCTAAAAAAATGAGTGTAATACAAAAAAAGAAAAGGTACTTACAAACGAAGGGCTCACACAAAAAACGCAACCGAATGCCAGTGGTGAATGTTTGCAATTACCAGTGGCACATGCGCTAAAATCTCTCAAAATTAATCTGGTCCAATAGAAAAGCGATATCAGCGCAGCCGGATAAAGTTATCCGACTGTCGCCCCTTTGTTTTTTTATAATTTATGCAGTAGGATTCACAGTAGAGATGGCAAAGGAAGCAAGTAGGAGAATCTCCTTTTCAATTATCTTCAAACAATCAATTACCTTCAAACAAAACTTGATTACAGTATCATGGGATACTAAGTTTCGGGTTTAAAACTTGCATAGTTTATAAGATATGGAGGATGATCCGAAGGAGGACTGGATAGAGTTATCCCTGTCTAAAAAAAGCTTTTGGGGGCATTTTTCAAGTGGGGTATGCATCTCTTCATATTCAGCATGTTAAATTACTAAATGGTAGGTCCCACTATTGTTACAACAATGCGACCAACTTCAAATGCAACGATCGATCCCACTGCTGATACAACATTACGACCAACTTCAAATGCAACGATAGGTCCCACTATTGGTACAACCATACGTCCAAATTCAAATAAAACGATCGGTCCCACTCCTGATACAACATTACGACCAACTTCAAATGCAACGATAGGTCCCACTATTGGTACAACCATACGTCCAAATTCAAATAAAACGATAACTCCCACCACTGATACAGCAATACGTCCAAATTCAAATAAAACGATCGGTCCCACTCCTGATACAACATTACGACCAACTTCAAATGCAACGATAGGTCCCACTATTGGTACAACCATACGTCCAAATTCAAATAAAACGATAACTCCCACCACTGATACAGCAATACGTCCAAATTCAAATAAAACGATCGGTCCCACTCCTGATACAACATTACGACCAACTTCAAATGCAACGATAGGTCCCACTATTGGTACAACCATACGTCCAAATTCAAATAAAACGATAACTCCCACCACTGATACAGCAATACGTCCAAATTCAAATAAAACGATCGGTCCCACTCCTGATACAACATTACGACCAACTTCAAATGCAACGATAGGTCCCACTATTGGTACAACCATACGTCCAAATTCAAATAAAACGATAACTCCCACCACTGATACAGCAATACGTCCAAATTCAAATAAAACGATCGGTCCCACTCCTGATACAACATTACGACCAACTTCAAATGCAACGATAGGTCCCACTATTGGTACAACCATACGTCCAAATTCAAATAAAACGATCGGTCCCACTCCTGATACAGCAATACGACCAACTTCAAATAAAACGATCGGTCCCACTCCTGATACAGCAATACGACCAACTTCAAATGCAACGATAGGTCCCACTATTGGTACAACCATACGTCCAAATTCAAATAAAACGATCGGTCCCACTCCTGATACAGCAATACGACCAACTTCAAATGCAACGATAGGTCCCACTATTGGTACAACCATACATCCAAATTCAAATAAAACGATCGGTCCCACTCCTGATACAGCAATACGACCAACTTCAAATGCAACGATAGGTCCCACTATTGGTACAACCATACGTCCAAATTCAAATAAAACGATCGGTCCCACTCCTGATACAGCAATACGACCAACTTCAAATGCAACGATCGATCCCACTCCTGATACAACATTACGACCAACTTCAAATGCAACGATAGGTCCCACTATTGGTACAACCATACGTCCAAATTCAAATAAAACGATCGGTCCCACTCCTGATACAGCAATACGACCAACTTCAAATGCAACGATCGATCCCACTCCTGATACAACATTACGACCAACTTCAAATGCAACGATAGGTCCCACTATTGGTACAACCATACGTCCAAATTCAAATAAAACGATAACTCCCACCACTGATACAGCAATACGTCCAAATTCAAATAAAACGATCGGTCCCACTCCTGATACAGCAATACGACCAACTTCAAATACAACGATAGGTCCCACTATTGGTACAACCATACGTCCAAATTCAAATAAAACGATAACTCCCACCACTGATACAGCAATACGACCAACTTTAAATGTAACAATAAGTCCCACTTCTGATACAACGATACGACCACAGTTAAATACAACGATAAGTCCAACTTCACATACAACAATCAATCCTACTTCGAATGCAACACTGATCTCAAGAAAAGGACGATTTATAGGTAGGCTATTTTTTCTATAAAATGATATTTAATATTATGATCTTTACAGATGCAATGTTTACAGATGAAAATTATTGTTTACAAAAGGAAAAGGAATCACTTGGATAAATATCCTTAATAAAAATACTAATCCAGCACTCTTCATAGCTATTGCTTAAATGCCTGCCACAAGTACTTTAAGCACCAAGCAATTTGCAGTACATTTTATATCTTTCATTCCTTTTCCGAAAAAATTACTACTTCCGATCCCTTCCCCCTAGAACAATGTTGATAATTTAGAGAAATATCATAAAAGAAGCGCAAAAGAAAGTGCTTCCTAAAATCCTAACCCGTTTCATAGTAAACCAACATTGCTCCGTGAGGGAGAGGGGGATGATTGATTTTGACCTTGCAAACTGACTCCAGTGTTCCAAAACTTTTGGCAGGGTTTGTACACCAGTATCCGTTTCTGCCATTAATTGAATCATTAAAAGATATGTCAAGTTTATTATTAAATAATAAACTATCAGTAAAGCCTCCTTTTATTTGGTTTTAGCCACCCCTCCATTTTTTTAGACCCCCTACTTTTCTCAACGCTCCGCGGTGCCTGTTTTGGCAGGGCTTGAACACCAGTATCCGTTTTTGCCATTAATTGAATCATCAAAAGATATATCATTTGGGATATCCAATGTGGGAAGTGTAGCTAGACATACAAGTTTATAAAATAGGTATCAAATATTTCATATTATAGCTTTAGCATTTCCCTTGTAATATCTACTGTTTAAAATTAATTATTGCGTAAAAATGTGACACAATCAATTAAATCTTATATAATCCGTTTTCAGATTTGATATCATGCGATTTCGAGTGTGGATTTTGTAACTTGAAGCCAAACAAAACAGACAGATTTAGACTGGATTGGACAAGACAGACTGGAAGTATGATGTCATACTATGCAGTGCCAATATTTGACCATACTACGGCTAAAAGTAAGCAATTAGCAGCCTACATTGCATTTTAAACCTTTTCTGCCGACGTTTACCGTAAAGCGATAAACCAAAGTGACAGTTAAATCATTGAACCATCCATCATCAGTGGCGTACTGGCAGGGATGCTAGGTTGCGATCGCAACCCGGGCCCTCTCAATTTCATAATAACCGGGCCCTCTGTAGATAAATTCGAAAAAATAACTCTGTTAATTTTAAAGATATCTTTGTCAAGAGAATACAAGTCACAGAAATGAAGATAAAATCCTTAGAAAGAAAACATTTCAGTATTGCTTACCAGGGGCGTTGTGGCTAGGCGGGACACCGGGAAATTTCTCGGTGGGCTCCTTTCAAGTGAGATTTGTAAAACCCAGGAAAATATCTAATATGAACAAAATCTTTGGTGAGAAAACGCCTCACTTACATTTATAATCAGGCTCACAGTTCAGAATTAGAGGAGGTAAACATTTACAATCAGGCAACTGTGAAAGAGATGCGTGGAATATTAACAGGGCTTCCGTGAGGGGGACAAGGAGGGGCAAACTGTCCCAGGGCCTCGAGGTTTAGGGGTCAACTTAAAGCAAGGAATTCCAATTCAAAATCTGAATTTTAACGAAACACAACAAAGTATGCCTAAAAATTTGTAAAACGAGATAAACGACTGTAAAAAACATTCTAAAACGTGTTTCAAGCTAATTTACAGGGCGTGGCCGAAAAAATCAACTGTGCACTACAGCACAGAATAGGAAATAGGCAGAAGGGTAACTCTCGTCGGTTCCTTTGTTGTTTTTGAAGCCTGAGTCAACAATAGAATTCCTTAATTCCCCTTTAACCTCGATTTCATTAGACAAACTTAACCATGACAAATTATCATTCATTAATCAGATATAAACGAATTATGATACATAATTGAATTTGTTCACTATCATGGAGCATTTCGTCTCAAATAAAGTTGTCTACTTTCATTCTTTTTTAATATTTCCCCGACAGATACATGCTAAGCCTCGTATAAGTTAACGCATGCGCTAGTTTGTTCAGGCTTCACCTGATAGGCAGGAGTTCCCCTTCTGCCTAATTCCTATTCTGTGACTACAGCATTGGGGCGTAGCGTGAGCGCAGAACTTAGGCATGCGGTAACATAAAATATACGGCTATGTTGAATAAATGTAATGGTAATTTCAATTTCTAAAAAATACAAGCGTTAATTAATGATAATCGTGATAGCAAATTTTGATTTTCAAAGTAACAAATCATTTGTACTCTAATTCTAATCAATCAAGGTGTCTATTCTTAGCATCAGAGGCTCCGATAGAGGCTCCGATCACCCATGCGAAAGTTTTTGAAAAAAGCTCAATTGTTTAGCAAGACTTTTCAGAATAACTCCTAGTGCTAAAACTGCTTCGCAAAAGATTTTATTCTTATTCATAATCCTCAAGAAAAGGCATCACCTAATGCCCACCTAATGTAAGAATTTTTTATGCTATAATGAAGCTGGGGATTCCCGCAAGAAGGAGCTCTCCACATTGCGAAATTGTTAACACACTGCAGAGCCTAAGCGAACAGGAGCAACAGTTTCTGCTCATTTTTTACTCTCATAGTTAACTAAGATGAAAATAGTGAGCTGTGAGAGTTGTTAGAAGTGAAGATGCTTCCATGTGTAAAGTTTCAGAAAGTTAGTCCCGGCAAATCATCATGTGTTTGGCAAGGCTTGCGCTCAGGTCTACCGCATGCCCTGGTCCGTAAATTCTGACTATACTGGCAAGCCTTTTGACTTGAATTACGGAATGCGGATCATGACCAATAGACTCTGACCCCACTTTGACGAAATATTTTCTCTTTTCAACAGTCACAAAGTAAAGAAAGGAAAATAATTGGATTTGGAATGATGTATCACGCAAAGAGTATTCGCAAAAAGCAGCTTATAGGTAGAAAAATGTTGTGGATTATCAAATATTTGGGAAGGCTTGCGCTCAGGCCGACCGCAAGCTCCAGTCCGGAAAATTCTCACTTCTCTCAGAAGTTTCTCTCGAGTTGCACTGAAGCTGCACTGGAGCATCACATGTTTCTCTTATTTCGGACAGCCAAAAAGAGTGATGTGGAGGGGCTTCAGTTTTTCAGATTTTTCGAATTTCATAATTTTTAGCGATCTGTTTACTTGGAAAAATAGCCAATTGGGGCCAATTGGCCTGTTGGCGCTAGAGTTCACCGCATGCTGCTCATGACAAGAAAGAGAAGCCGTTTATTGCGGAAATTGTTATGCATTGAAAGTGTTGCAAGAATTTTAGACTTTGTCTATAAATTTTTACGCTTGCGCCGCAAGCGTAGCATACATAGACGCTACGCCACTGCATTGGCTTTGTTCCTCTTTTTTGCAGTCTTAAAGTAACTATGGGTAAAAATAAGGGACTACACCCCAACAAATATAGCAGATGAACCTTTAAAAATGATAAAAACTGATATATTTTTAATATTTCATAGGTGCATGGTTTCCATGTACATATTATTTTTAGCGACTTGGGTTTGTGATTGGAGACATCATACACAAGAGTGGGCCCCCTTATGATAATTTTCTCCCGGCCCTTTCCTAGGAGCCACAACGCTCCTTACATTATACGTAGTACGGGCCCCTTTTCTGTAAATAGCAACCCGAGAGATTTGCTGCCAGTCCGCCTCTGTCCATCATTGCTACCTGAATGTCGTTTGTGTCAAGAAACCACATCCAGAATCCTTTCTAGCGATTCTTAGGAACGTCCGAACGAATTCTAATCTTTAAAGGCTTGTCAAGTAATTTATTTAAAGGGAAATGAGTGTAGATAACTCACAATTATTAGAAACTTTGAAGTCCTGCCAATCTTCATTTGAAAAGAAAGCATTCACTTCACTTTAAATGTGGCAAATTGAAGGGACCATATCTAAATAGTCGAGGGTTTTAGCATTTCTGCTTGTCTCGGAGAAACTAATCTTTTCAGGTGGTTACTATGCATCTTTTTAGGTGGTTATTATGCATTCACGGAAGCCTCCTTTCCAAGGCTAATAAATCACAACGCAACACTCTCCTCCACTGCGATGCGGTCAAATGGAAAGCCTAGATGCATTGATTTCTACTACCGCATGATATCTAATGGCAAAGGTTCCCTAAACATCACTGTCGAATATGGTGGCATTAAGCAGATAGTCTTCAACGCAACTAGAAGCAGCGCTAATGGCTGGAACCGAGGGCAAGCAGTACTTGATATACCCTCCGGCTTTAACTTCACGGTTGGTATTAAACTTGATGTGAACTTTTTTCAGACATCTAGTCCATGGATTGTACGTTGCTCTCTAGAATTGAATAATTTCAAGCACCAAAGCACTGGTTCCCTTAATATCTAAATCAACTGCATCTATCTTCAACTTAAAAGGCAACCACCTGAACAAGAATACATTGATATCTAAAAGCAAAATAAAAAATCTTCATAGCTGTTACAGTATTACTATGATGGAAGGACAAACAATTTGTTTACTTGTTATTGGCTTGCACTTTGACAATACATACAGCTCGAAACTTCCTTGAATGCAAGATTTCTTAAAATATTTCTGTAATTCTTTCTAACCACACGAGCCGTGAAAATAATACACCCTTCTATTAAGTTGAAGATGTGTGTACTTCGTAAAACTGGCCTTTTATTTGAAAAAGACAGGTGTTTTAAGGGCGCAGCCTTCTTACTCCCATTCATTCTCTTCAGCACGTTCATGGCACGGTTCTTTAAATTAAAGAGTATTGCTGAAAATATACCGATTTTTAGCATTTGTGATTAATGGGTATTGATTTCTTAATAGTGAATGATAATAGAAACATTTATACAGGGAAAGCCTTGTCAGAACCACATGTACTGTTATCTTCGAACAATGACATAGGTATATTTTCATATAATTTTGATCGTTTTTTATATCATTTCATTTAACTGGTTGCCAACGTCATATTTTCTTCGTTGTAATTGACATTAATACAACTTATGGCACATTGATATGCAGGTTCACTTCAAGAATATCCGATCAAAATTCTGGACTGGGGACGTAGCTGTTGACGACATACGCGTTTGGAATGGATCGTGTCCAAGGAAACCAGCAAGTACTCCATGTAAGTTTGACGCATCCATGTTTTCTCCTCTTGGCACCTTTTAACGCGAGGAGTTTTGTAGGAAAAAGGTGTAAGAAAAAGGCAAGTACAACTTGCCACGTCTTGGGGTATAAGATCATATCTTTTTAACATCATAAGATTTTATACGCAAAGCCTTATGCAATATACTCCTATTTTTCATACAAAACTTTACTTTAAAACCTGAGGCAAAATACTTTGCTAGCTTGGAAAATATTCAACCTTTCTGAATCAAGAGAATTCAAAGCAAGCATGAATATATGAAAAAATACGCTTCAGCTTCATAAAAGCGTATAGTGCTGACTTATTTTGCCTAAAATATTTAAAATTTTCTGCCACTTGACTTCAGATTACTGCTTGTAAGGTTTTTCATTCTCTGGAGCTAGTTGTTACGATTTCTTGTTAGCAGTTTGTGGAGAAAGTATAAATTAGCATATTGCTAAAACTAAACTGCACAACTGCTTGATTAAGCTCTCGCCAAAGAGGGGTTTAAGGGTGCGGAACCCAACCCCCAACACTTTGTCCTTCTGCACATTAAGGATTGTTGATGGGTAAAAGGAGCAATTTTTGTACTCTTCCTGTGTCCTTTTTGCAACAATTGTGCAAAATTCGATTCGACCTTTAGTTACGAAGACAAGATCTGGTCGATAGGAGTCGCCTGTGATTAAAAAAGGTGATAGAAATGAAGGCAGGTCGGCGTAAAGTCACAATTCCCTTAGAGAGGCTCTTCCTATTTGACCTTACAAACTGACGTTAGTGTTACAAGACTTTTGGCAAGCATTGTAATTTTCTTGCGTATGTCTAGATTCATGAAGGTTAACAATTGTGGATTTCCCTTAAAGGTAGTCTGTCCCCTATTGTGTTCAATTTTATTTTCACGGGAGTGAAATTCACGCACCGCTGAGCTTGATCGATAATTTAACGATTTAAACCAATCAGAGATAACTTTGATTCCAGAGCTTTTGAATCAAATGGCTGTGTTCCCGTTGTAGTGAAGATGTGGCTAGAAAAATTTGGTTCCCTGCTTGGTTTCTGCGACAGATATGTCAAAAGGAAAAACAAATGCTTTCATTATTATCATTCAATTCCAGTAATTAAATCTTCTTTCCATTTTCGATAGCCTTTTTCTTGCAGTTTCAAATGTCGTCCACTACCACAGCTAGGCCAGCCAAAGCGAGCAGTGTAATCCGTTAAGGCAGGATAAGCTATTGTTCACTTTAGCCAATCATTGAGGGGACAGATTGCCTGTAAGCATGCTTTCTCGTCCCAATAGTTTTTACCCGAGAGAAATAAATATTGTTATTGCATGCCATGTTCATTGTTTTCAATAACCATAGTTGAGTTGTATGCAATACTTTTGTGACTCTTGGGGATTTGATATAAGAAGAGTGCTTGTTTCTACTTCCCTAAAGGGCTAACGAAGTTCAAAGCTATAAACACGTTAACACTGCTAGCCGCGCCATTTTGCAGCAAGGCTTGTCCAGTGTTAAACATGGCACAGCTTAGGCGCACAAAAATGCCATTGGTGGCATTCAGTGCTATCTTAGCCTGTTTATGCTTGCAGTGCTTTGGCATTCCGTTAGAAGAGAACACACTTAAAGAGTTAGGTAAAAACTTCGACAATAATGAACTTCGACAAGGTTAGTATTCTTTGTTTTTTTAGTATTCTCTGCGATATCAATAAAGTAAATGTAAACACTGCATTTGCTGTCCGTCAAATGACCAGCCTTTGTGATATGGCTGTTTTATCGACGAAAAATTTATCAGGCATAGTTTTAAAGTGATTTATTTGCTTTTAGCCGTGGTTCGTGATTTTGAACCAGTGAGAGTTTGAGTTCGTTGTTGATGCTTGAATGATTTTGCAATCTTGGGGATGTAAATTTTATTGGTCGAAAGGAACTTGTCAATCAAGAACCTACCAATCAGCAGCACCTTTTGCCTGAACATCTGGTACCTGACATGTGCAAGATGATTTGGCCATATTAGGTGCTAGCCGTGCTATTGACTAAGTTTGCGCTTCCGCTGCTTCTTAGCTGACTTCCAAACCAACATTTGCTGGATTTTTATTTCACTTTAATCGTAAGGCTTTCGCGATAAGAATAAATGACAGATTAAATGATAATTACTAAAGCTTCGAAATTTGAGGCGGAAAATGCAAGGGCATTTCTTGTGACTAGGACCATGGCACCTTCTGTGACTAGGCCCATTGATGCTAACTAACCCCTAGTCTGAGAATTTTATTAGGCGTATCAAACAAATCATTATATCTTTCTCTGGTAACTCGCTGTTTTTTATTCTTTTCAGAAGAAACAATTTGCTTTTAGTTAATCAAGTTGTTGAGAAAGATATGGGGAGAAAATAATTTTATCATAAATTAGCGGATAAATTAGCGGATAAGAATAAATGACAGATGACATATTGTAATTTGTCACTAGTGCGACAGCTTTGGAAGTTCTTATCCTCGAAATAGGGTATTTAATAGGAGATTTAAGAGCACAGTAAATATGCTTTGTTTTAGCCGCTTACTGGTCCGAAGATATAGAGAACAGAAATGAAGATGACGAAGAAGTTGAAACGCTGTCCATAGATGATTCACATTCTGATAAAGGTATTGCTAAATCAACTTTTTAGCTTTGTAATGATCATGTAATGATATAAGAGAACTAGCTTAATTAAGAGAAATAAGCAACCGTTTGTTTTTCCGAATAGACAAAAGCAACCGCTCTGTAGTTTGCCGAATTATAAGATTCTTATGATGATAATAATAACGATCAGTTTTTCGTACCCAAAGCGTAAATCGATAAGAAACGAAACTGTGGAACAAGGAATGTCTTTTGATTTGAGGAATAACCTATGATGATTTAAAAAAGTTGAATTTCAGTAAGTTAGACTGTGCTTCGTGAAAATGCAAAAATGGATTCCGTTTTTATAATAATAATAATAATAATAGATATATTTATACAGGGTGAAACCTTTTCAGTGCCAGAGGCACTGTTATCAATGAGGGCCCTGTTATAAATAAAATTATTTACATGGTTAAAAATGAAAATTAATTACAAGTTAAAAATGAAAAGTTAAAAAATGAAAGTAATAAAGGGTAAAAATCGTTTTTAGTAAACAAGTTGCTGAGGAAATGTTCTTTTAATCGATTCTTGAATTGAACAATCGATGTTAATTGGCGGATGTCAATTGGGATGTCGTTGAAGCAGGAAGGGCCTTGGAAACGAAATGACGTTGCATGTATCCTTAGGAAATACATGCAACGGAGGAGGAGGCATTTTATATAGGTGGAAGCAAGCCTGTTTATTCCGTAAAAATGATGAAACTTGCTAGTCTGTACTGTCTCCTCCCTGTTCAAAAGGGAAGTTTTAAAGGCATTGTGTCCTTAAGAATCTTGCTGATCAACCCAGTTCCTATTGGGCGAACTTTAGAGTAACGAAGTGATGACGTCATAAAAATCTATTTTTAGATTTTCTGAATTTTGATCCCAGAACCTGAAAGAGCATCATGAAATACTTCTAAATATGCAAATCAGTTAAAGGCATTACGAATTAGGTGAGACATGGCCACTTGAGCACAGGCTTTTGCCCCATCAAACCTCTGTGATTTGGTCTCGGTACACAATAGCAGTAATCCGTTTGCAAACTTGAAATCTTTCATCGGTCATATCTCGCCCACTTTGGAACATATCTAACTAATTTTGCACAATTAGAGGTATTTTATGCCATTCTTTTAGATTATGCGGCCAAATTTTAGAAATTCTAAAATTAGATTTTTGGTGACGTCACACTTCGGTACTCAACGCAATAGGTAATTGTTCCATTCCGTTTTTTAACATCAGACCCCGATTTTCCTAGACGACACAAAAACGTAAACTATGAACACAGATCCAGTGCAATAAACACTAATTTTACTTTATTCAGACTTAGAAGAAGAGGTTTCTGCGATCGAGATGTCGAAAAGAAATTCAATGCGTCAAGGTAATGTTAAGCAACAACATTAAATCAATATCAAAGCATCTCTCTTCCTAGATATATTTCATAATTTTTAGAAAGATGGCCTTGAAATTTTTCTCTTGGTAAAACATCTATTCGATCCATTAAAACTTGTCTTAAAATGGAAGACTGACCTTCGGCATATGGTCGCTGTTGAGAAGACTGGTCTGTGTTTCAAATGCTTTATGGGAAAACTGGTCTGACCTCATTCCTGATGCAAATGGTCTAGTCTCGATTTCGACATCTGTCTTAGGGTATTTTCAAAACAACCGCCCCATTTTGATAGAATGTGCTGGCTTAGTGTTATAGTTAGCTTACAGTGTTATTTCTATATTTCAAAAGCACAACAGTCTTAAGGGCTCTGACACCTTGCTAGTGACAACCAGAGGCGAAGCCGAGAAAATTGCTTGGAGGGTTGAAGAGGTGATTTTTGCCAACAAAAAGGGCGTGTCTCACTTGTTAAGGGTTTTGTCAAAAGAAAAGTACTCTTAAGTGCTACTTTTATGCGTTTATGTCTTAAAGCTCATGCTCCAGTGCCATACTTTGAAAGTTCAACTACACAGAAATGTTAATATGCTACAATTTTTGCATTGCATGTTGGTAGTTTCTACAGCCTTTCATTCTTTCAGGTAGCTGTTCGTCCCATCCATGCCGTAACAATGGCACCTGCATGAATTCTGCTAATGGACACATTTGTAGCTGCAGCAATGGATACACTGGCTTGCACTGTGAACAAGGTAGGGAGTATACATTTTTTAAGCGTGATTAATTTTTATTCCCCAGTCTCTCATTCAGTGGCACATGCTGCTTCTGGAAAATGTGGAGCTTGGGGGCTTCGCTACAGGCAAATTTTTGTATCTTTGTCCGTTATAGTCGCGAAAAAGGAGAAATTATCTTTTGAACATAATGTACGCATGAAGCATCTTCTTTTAACTTTACATTTTCGGTGAACCGGCGAAATTCGGCCTAATTACATAACATACATGCATAAAGCAACCCTGATGTCTATCCTTTGGTGCAAGAGCCTTGGAAATAGCAAAAATAAAGTTAAAAGAAAAAAACAGGCTTTGGTAGCCAGGATGCTTTTTGTCAACCCTTGAACAGAGACTGTTGGCTTTGGTGACAGTTGGCATATTTCAGAATAATCAACATAACCCTTGAAGCAAATTAACCTATCAGTCCAGGAACTTTTTTATCTAATTCTCATTCTTCAAAAGGAGCGCACAATTTCCAAAAAAGGGGCGCCAGACTTGCTTCAACTCGTCGAGGGAGGGGCAACTGCCCCTAGTTGACCCCCCCCCCTTAAATCCGCCACTGGCTCAGATAGGACATTTGAAAAACCAGCTGATAATGAATACACCTTCAAAAGGGACTGTGTCCTTTCACAGAATGTGAAGTCTTCTTGTTGCATTCTTGTTGTTGCATAGCAACAATGTTGCAATAACACATTGTTGCTACACCAAGGAACTACTAGTTTTAGTAACAATAAAGTTTTACAAAATTAAGGTCTTTATACTATAATGTCATTTGTAGATTCCAAAAAGCCAGAGTGTCACGCCCATTACCTTTCTACGCTGCAGTAGCGTGCCCCGTCATAGCCTGTGCTCCAGACCCCTACTTTCAAGTTAGGGGTCTGGAACACAGACTAGCCCCGTCACTGATTCATTGTGCCAAATGTTGATAAAAGGAACCGTTTGATAAAGTTTGCTTGTTTAGACTAAAATAGCAACCAATACACAATATGCATCTTCCAGCAGTGTTTGTGCTATTGTACACTACTAAGCATTACTGTCCTGAGAATACAATTTATTACATTTTAGTTGTCGAGCACTGCTCATCGGATGCCTGTCTCAATGGGGGAACCTGCGTGAACCAAAGAGATGGATTCAGTTGTGTTTGTCCTCATGGCTACACTGGACGCTACTGCTCTCAAGGTGTGTTTAGAAAAGTTTGATGTTTATAAAGATAATACAAAATCAAAACCGCTGAATGAAGCTGCTTGAACTGGGGAAATGTGTCAAGATTTTGCATATTTGTATTTCCTTGAATAAACACCAAGCAATCCTCTAATAGGTACCCCCATAAAAGGGATTGCAATTTAGGGTTTTCTGTAATAATGTAAAATTTACAAGCAAAGGCATTCATGAAGAGAATTTTCATTCTACTTTGCTTACCTCTAGCGATTTTTGAAAACTTCCTGATTCCTGTGCCCTTCTCCCCTGTCAGATGTTCCACTGCATACTGCTTCCTGAATGCATCTTTAAGAATGTTCATAAAACTTATTAAGATTCTGAGAAGACTAACGTAAACATTTTTGTGAACGATTTGAGTCAGTTGGTGAAATAAGAAAAAACCTATATATGTTAGCAAGTCTCTTCGTTTATGCTGTGCCTATATCATGCAAATCGTCTATAAGTAATTCTTATCATAGCCAGTATTGATCGATAAAAATTACTAAGCTTTTATGTTTATAACTTTTTCGTCATCCCGTTGAAGAAGCGTTGCACAATAACTAGTTCAGAAAAAGGTATACTCGCGTTTTCAATATTTAGTCCTAATGCCAGGAGCTGCACAATAAAACAACAAATTTCTTCATAACAGTTGCAACGAATCCGACTCCAACTCCAGATACGACTCCAGCTACTTGGAAAGACTCAATTGTAAACACAGTAGTGTCGACTACAAAACAAACGATGGATCCAAATCCGAATACAACAGTAGGTCCAACTCTTGGCTCAACATTGCAACCAAATCAAAATACAACGATTAGCACCAATCTTGGTACAACAATGCGACCAACTTCAAATACAACGATTGGTCCCACTCCTGATACAACAATACGACCAACTTCAAATACAACGATAGGTCCCATAGTTGGTACAACAATACGACCAAATTCAAATAAAACGATCGGTCCCACTTCTGATACAACAATACGACCAACTTCAAATACAACGATCGGTCCCACTTCTGATACAACAATACGACCAACTTCAAATACAACGATCGGTCCCACTTCTGATACAACAATACATCCAACTTCAAATACAACGATAGGTCCCATAGTTGGTACAACAATACGACCAAATTCAAATAAAACGATAACTCCCACCACTGGTACAGCAATACGACCAACTTTAAATGTAACAATAAGTCCCACTTCTGATACAACGATACGACCACAGTTAAATACAACGATAAGTCCAACTTCACATACAACAATCAATCCTACTTCGAATGCAACACTGATCTCAAGTAAAGGACGATTTGTAGGTAGGCTATTTTTTCTATAAAATAATATTTGATATTATGATCTTTACAGATGAAATGCTACTTTGCTTTGCAGTGCAAAGAACATATTAGAAATCAGGGCCCACGCCAGCGGGGAGTGGGGTGGCCATGCACCCTTCACTTTTTTGCGAAGCAAGTAGTTTTAATGCTGTAGAATAAGGGGTAAGAAGCCTTGACCCCCTACTTTTTAGCCATGGCCTCCCTCCCCCACTCTTAAATTTGTGGCACTGGCCCTGAAAATACACATTTGATCTCTAATGTTATCGACATTTTTACTGCAATACGCTAAGTTCATCAAATTTTCATGATGTCTCTTTATCTAATGACCAACGAGTTGTTGATAAGTTTCTACGAGTTGTTTCTGATGGAAATTCTTTCTTGAAGATGGTATTATTTACAAATTATTGTTTACAAAAGGAAAAGGAATCACCTGGATAAATATCCTTGCTAAAAATACTAATCCAGCACACTTCATAGCTATTGCTAAAATGTCTGCCACAAGTACTTTGAACACCCAGCAATTTGCGTTACATTTTATATATTTTATTCCTTTTCCGAAAAAATACTAATTCTGACCCCTTCCCCCTAGAATAATGTCGATAATTTAGAGAAATGTCATAAAAGAAGCGCAAAAGAAAGTGCTTCCAAAATCCTAACCCGTTTCATAGTAAACCAACATTGTTCCGTGGGGGAAAGGGGGATGATTGATTTTAACCTTGGAAACTGACGTGACGTCAGTTTTCCAAAACTTTTGCAGGCACCGCCGAGCAGAGGGGCTGAGGGGGCTTAAGCCCCCCCCCCTTTTTTGCAAAAAAATGCCAATTATTAAATAATAAACTACCAGTAAAGCCTCCTTTTATTTGGTTTTAGCCCCCCCCCCTCCATTTTTTTAGACCCTCTATTTTTCTCAACGCTCCGCCGAGCCTGTTTGGCAGGGCGTGAACACAATGTCATTTGGGATATCCAATGTAGGAAGTGTCGCTAGAATTGAATTAATTGAAATAAAAGATATGTCATGTGGAATATCCAAGTTGTTATGTGGGAAGTGTAGCTAGACATACAAGTTTATAAAATAGGTATCAAATATTTCATATTATAGCTTTAACATTTCCCTTGCAATATCTACTGTTTAAAATTAATTATTGCGTAAAAATGTGACACAATCAATTAAATCTTACATAATCCGTTTTCAGATTTCATATCATGCGATTTCGAGTGTGGATTTTGTAACTGGAAGCCAAACAAAACAGACAGATTTAGACTAGATTGGACAAGACAGACTGGAAGTATGATGTCATACTATGCAGGGCCAATATTTGACCATACTACGGCTAAAAGTAAGCAATTAGCAACCTACAATGCATTTTAAACCTTTTCAGCCGACGTTTACCGTCAAGCGATAAACCAAAGCGTCAGTTAAAGCATTTAACCATCCATCATTGTTACCTAAATTTTATTTATACCAAGAAACCACATCCAGAATCCTTTCTAGCGATTCTTAGGAACTTTCGAACGAATTCTAATCTTAAAGGGCTTGTCAAGTAATCTGTTTAAAGGGAAATGAGGGTAGATAACTCACAATTATTAGAAACTTTGAAGTCCTGCCAATTTTCTTTCTTCATTTGAAAAGAAAGCATTGACTTCACATTAAATGTGGCAAATTGAAGGGACCATCTCAGAATAGTCGATGGTTCTAGCATTTCGCCTTGTCTCGGAGAAATTGATCTTTTCAGGTGGTTACTATGCATCTTTGTAGGTGGTTATTATGCATTCACGGAAGCCTCCTTTCCAAGGCTAATAAATCACAACGCAACACTCTCCTCCCCTGCGATGCAATCAGATGGAAAGCCTAGATGCATTGATTTCTACTACCATATGATATCTAATGGCAAAGGTTCCCTAAACATCACTGTCGAATATAGTGGCATTAAACAGATAGTCTTTAACGCAACTAGTAGCAGCGCTAATGGCTGGAATCGAGGGCAAGCAGTACTTGATGTACCCTCCGGCTTTAACTTCACGGTTGGTATAAAACTTGATGTGAACTTTTTTCAGTCATCTAGTCCATGAATTGTACGTTGCTCTCTAGAATTGAATAATTTTAAGCTCCAAAGCACTGGTTCCCTTAATATCTAAATCAACTGCATCTATCTTCAACTTAAAAGGCAACCACCTGAACAGGAATACATTGATAAACTAAAAAATCTTCATAGCTGCTACAGTATTACTATGATAGGACAAACAATTTGTTCACTTGTTATTGGCTTGCACTTTGACAATACATACAGCTCGAAACTTTCTTGAATGCAAAATTCCTTAAAATATTTCTGTAATTCTTTCTAACCTCAAGAGCTTTGAAAATATTACACCCTTCTATTAAGTTGAAGATGTGTGTACTTCGTAAAACTGGCCTTTTAGTTGAAAAAAACAAGTGTTTTAAGGGCGCAGCCATCTTACTCCCTGTCATTCTCTTCAGCACGTTCATGGCACGGTTTTTTAAGATAAAGAGTATTGCTGAAAATATACCGATTTTTAGCATTTGTGAGTAATGGGTATCAATTTCTTAATAGTGAATGATAAGGGAAACATTTATGCAGGGAAAGCCTTGTCAGTACCACATGTACTGTTATCTTCGAACAATGACATAGGTATATTTTCATATGATTTTGATGGTTTTTGGTTGCAATTGACATTGATACAACTCATGACACATTGATATGCAGGTTCACTTCAAGAATATCCGATCAAAATTCTGGACTGGGGACGTAGCTGTTGACGACATACGCGTCTGGAATGGATCGTGTCCAAAGAAACCAGGAAGTACTCCATGTAAGTTTGCATTTTCTTTGACACATCCATGTTTTCTCCTCTTGGCACCTTTTAACGCGAGGATAAGATATCTAAAATTTTCTGCCACTTGGCTTCAGATTACTGCTTGTAAATTTTTTCATTCTCCAGAGCTAGTTGTTACGATTTCTTGTTAGCAGTTTGTGTAGAAAGTAGAAATTAGCATATTGCTAAAACTAAACTGCATAACTGCTTGATTTGAGGGGTTTGAGGGTGCGGTACCCCCCAACACTATCCATCGGCACATTAAGGATTGTTGCCGGGTAAAAGAAGCGATATTTTTACCCTTCCTGTAACTTTTTTGCAACAATTGAGACGTATTACATTTCTGTAGTAATTGAACATTCTAAATATGGCACTAGAGTATAAATTTTGAAACAGAGGCGCATGAAAGCAGCATAGAACAGTATCTATTTTGACCGCGCCCTTAAAGAGTGAGACACGCCCTTTTTGCTAGCAAAAATCACTTTTTTGCCACTCCAAAAAAGTTGTTTAGCTTTGCTTTCACCCCTGCCAACAAGCACTTGCTCACATTAATCTCTTTCGATTTGTTGCTCGTATTCTAATTCAAAATAAACATATGAACTTACGCAAATATGCCTTTTTGTGAAATAGTATCTTCTAGACTGTGCAATTTATAAACATTTTGGCTAGAATACATCCATAAATAATAACAAAGCTTTTTATCATGTAAATGACCATTTCGCAAAATAAACTTGCCGAGATATACTTACGACATATATATGCTTGCAGTTTAACCGAAATTTGAACTGGCCAACCATGTGTCGAGAAACATTTAATTTTTGAACAGTTTGCTAGATTACTGTTCGTTTTCAAACCAGCTGTATTAGCTTGCCCCATTGAGGAGAGAGCACAGTTTTGCGACTGGAAGCAGGCTACAAATGATAGCGGCAACTGGAAACTGAAGAGTCCGTATAACCGGGGGTACAGGAAATCCAACAATTTTGACGACACAGAAGAGGATAGCAGAAGGGGTTATGGGCGGCATCAGCCCATCAAAGGGCCGAGAAGAGCGCTCTCTGGCAAAGAAGGTAAGTTCCAACCTACAGGGGTTTAGTGGAAGTAGCCTTTTGCAGTCTGAACCTAGGAGCTATGTGGTTTGTAGTGGTAGCGGAGTAATGGTCAGTGCTATTAAATTAAATTTAGGGATCTTGCGCGAAATATAACAGGGTCAGCTCAGCCTCCCTGAGCCCTATTAGCACTACCCCCACTAGACGGCTGATTGTCTCACTTCTTATTTCATATTATAAAGAGGCTTCGTAAAGCTCACCTCTGCCAGTCGCAATTACGGTGCATTGTATTGTTGTGTTATGTCATAGGTAGGATTTGAATCAAAATATTGGAGGTATGCAACTAACAGTTTCTTAATTTGACAGTTTTGTCAACTTAAAATGTCCTATATAGAAAATATAGAAAATGAAGAACACAAGTAATTGCCTTCCTTTTCAATAAGCAGTTAGATCAAGAACCATGTTTTATCACGATGTTCATGTGCTAGCATGTTCTAGAATGCATACTCCAACAATCCAGTATTTCAAAACTCTAACAATTTGCCATTCCATATTTTTCATGTTTCAAGACAGCTTTAAATTCATTCTGTGTCTAGCTTAAACTGCCTCTTTAATTTTCTCCTCCGTATTATCTCTTTGTAGATTCCTTTGCATATTTTCGAGGTAGAAAATTTGCCAACACAGAGAAAGCAGTTCTTATAAGCAAAGTCATATCTTCCTTTGGTTCGACTTGCTTGCGTTTCTTTGCGCACATGTCTGGGCAGCATGTAGGCAAACTTATAGTCAGCAAAGTGGATACCAAAGGTAGAACTGAATTGTTGAAGATGGCTGGCAGCCAAAAAAAAACGATGGTTTCAAGTAGATGTTAACTTATCCGCCGGAAAAGACTTTCAGGTTTTTCTTCATAATTGGCCTAACTGGTTCTTTAATATTGTACTCCATTTGTGACAGCAGGAGCAGGCTCAACACTTTGATTTCAGTTTTGAACCTCCTAAAACTAACTTGTTCTTCAACTTCGGGTATACACATCAAGAATAGTAGTTTATCGTTGTTCTACTTTCTGAGCAACAATTGATCTATCGAAAGCATAATATTTGTAGATGTGTCACTTTTACTCTGATGAAGCCCCGTATGCCAGGGCGAAATATTAGACATAACTGATTGTTGTTCATTCTGTGTATTTGTTGTTGTTCATTTTCGTCGCGTTGTGGTGTTACTTTTTTTCTACATTTTAACGATTTTTTGCCGCAAGAATTCCATCGGAGTCCATCGAGCAGCCTTTAATGTGGCCTTTCCTTCATTCATACATAATGTTTATACGCGGCGAAACGTGTGCCGTCAACAGAAACTCCGACGCAAGTTGGAAAGTGGTAGGACCAAGTGAAAATGTTTAAGACTGATAGCAAAAATTTAGCAAATAGCTCTTTTGTCAGGGAAATTATTTTGTTTAAAGTGATATCTTTTACTTTAAAAGCTGGTGATGTGAACAAACTGTTAGATGTGAATATACAGTATTCCATTGACTGAGCAAATGATTGCCTTACCCCTCCCCCCCCCCCTCAATTCGAATGAGCCTCTTCCCTAGAAGGGTGTTTAGTCTACAAATGATTATAATCTTTCCTTGTATTGAATCTTTTCAAAGTAACACATTGAGCTCTAATAATTGCTTTTTATTTGCATTGTTTATTTGGATTTTGATCTGTGATTCAAATTTTCAGTCTCAATTTGTTTTAGGTTGAAATCGCAGCATTTCAGGGAAAAAGAGCAACGATCGCAATTGATGACGTAGATGTAAGCCCAGGACCTTGCCGTGTTCCTAAACGTACGTAGTCCAGTATATCATTTCATATTCAATCCTTGGCTTGGTATAAGTGAATACCTTCAATACGTAAGAAATACGTCTATAGTTTGTTCGAGAGGATGGTTTGCTTAGCCTGTGTCCCAGACCCCTAACTTGAAAGTAGAGATAGGGCTCTTGGACACAGGCTAGGTTTGCTATGCAGTGGTGAAGAAAATGCCTGTAAGTAAGAAAACTTTTCATAACGAGGTCAAGTGACCAGCTCATTTCTCGCCAGTTCAGCCGGTACACCTCATCACGTGACTACTTACATGATGACAGGATGTTCACTTTGTGGGGCAAAACGTTTTGAGGGAGGCCCAAAGCTTGGGTCCCTTCTTACCCAAAGCAATACACCCTGAATACGCTTGATATGGACTTAAAATACATAAAAGTTTCTTACTATGTTTATACATTTTTTTAATTTTATAAGAACAATTCTTTAAGAACACGAACCTCAAAATTGGTCAACAGTTAAGAACAAATTAAGAACAAGCTGAAGCTGAGCTTCTGCAAAATGCAATTTTGAACAATGTTTTTCTCTAAATCGAATATATTTAGCCATGTGTGAGTGCTTTTTCGGTGAATATTCAAACCTGTTGACAAATGAAGGTTGTCTCATTCATTTTGTTGACAAATGAGGCCTGGCTACCTCCCTAGAGCGAAAAAGTTAGCACTCGCATCATCAATTAAGAACAAATTAAGAACAACTCAGCCTCAGATTTTCCAAAAAATTAAGAACAATCAGCCTGAATTTAAATCTACTGGTTCTTATAAAAAAGGGTGTAGTAAGACTATATGTATACTGTTAGTATAGATATTTGTCAAGCATCGTTAAACTTTTTCCGATGTTATTTTATCGTATTGTTTGCTACCTAGCTTCCGAAGGTAGTTTTAAGGCGGACACTGAAAAGGAATGCTTATCGTGCAATGTCCTGGTACTTTCTTTCGATGTTACCACACCTTGTGATCCCTACGCCTGGAATTATAGAGATATGGCGACTCTTTTCACTTAAATTGGCAACCCTTTGATCTTTAGTCAGCGACCTTAACCACTGAATCATCCTCGCACACAAGCTTAGGACTGGGACCCAGTTGTTTTGGGAGTCGTAGACTCTTACTCATCCTTATTCTGAAAATGTTAAGTTGTTCCTTATTTGGCAAAGTAACGGTGTCTAGTGTCTAGAAGGAAGTAAATTTTTCCGTTGAAGTGTCAAAACATCTGTCACACTAATTGCCAGACAAATCTTTAATCATGTAGCCTGCTAAACATTAGTATATATTTACAATAACGAAAACGACTATTTATTTTGAGAATAAGCTCTGATATGTCTTTCTTGTTATCCTCTGAATTATTGTATTGCACAAGTAAGTTAGTTGTTCCTTTTTATTATTTTCTTTAATCACATTTGAATAATAGAGCTGTTTTAAATTAACTATAAATCTCTCGTTCTTGTTAGGCCTGTTTTCTTGCGATTTTGAAGCTGGATCGTGTGGTTTGATGCAAGACGACATGGATGACTGTGACTGGAACATAACCACGACAAATAAAGGTTATTCTTTTTTTGAGTTTTTTTAAAAGAATTATTTGCCAAATTTTAAAAGGCAATAGTGCTGAATAAAGATTTATAGAATTCTCCTTTAATTTTTGGTATTGTGTATACAAGTACGAATTCGTTTCTTGTACGAAGAATGCGTACAAACTTTATTCTGACTGGCATAGTAATTTGCAAGACTAAAAGGTGAAGGTGCCGGACTTGCTAATGCCCTCGTTTCGGGATGATCTTGGCAATGGTATAGATGACTGTAAAGGAAAAATATCACGACGAGGGCACAACAATGAATTATAGTTTCCTTCTAGAAGGAACTGTGCGCCCTCGTTGCGGTTTTACCCTGCCGCAGTGGTTGCCAGCTGCTGCAAAGAGCTTTGAAAAACATAAGAAGCTGCAAAGAACATAAAGCGGACTTTCGAGAACGTCCCTTTCTTAGTCCATTAAATTTTCATTTTAGAAAATCATATCTTTAAAGTTTATCTGTTATTCGTTCTATTTGCTTGATTGTAGGCAAAGCTTTGCAATGGAACATTGATAGATGTCATCATGATAATGGAGATAAAAGAGAAATTCATGACAGTATTGCATTATTAAGTAAGGAGCTGCATGTACCAAAGCGTGGAGGATGCTTGACTATTGATTACCACCTTGGAATGCATGACACTTGTGAACTAAAAGTAAGGCTTCTGGATAGCTCTCAGTCTTGGGAAGGGATGCATTATCCTCGACAGAAAGAGCGAATTTACTACAGAAAGTCAAAGAGTAATCGTGGAAAGATGCAAAGAGCCTTTATTACCATTCCACCTCCTCGAGGAGGATGCCCGTTAAGAAAGGTTAGTTGACGGTAGCCACTTCATTCTAAAATCCTATTCTTGCAATCTATTGCAAAATTTTTGGTCCATTATAAAGATACCTAAACACGGGGGTAATACACGGAAAAGTCAACATTTGCCTTTAGAATATATTGACTAGTTTTTTCCATTTGCTCTCATTCTCTACTGGCCGCTCTCTGGAGGGTTTTGCATAACCTGAAAAATGACATCAAGTGTCTTAGCTTTGTGTCATATGCACTAGATGCCTAAATATCCTCCCCTTGAGGTAAGTGTAGGGTGAGATGACGACAAACTTAGTGGATATGCACACAGGCTCAACCATTTCTTTTAAAATATTGATTTGGGAGGAGAGCAAGTTGTCCTTAGCTCAAACCTTTGGAAATAAGTTAGGATTGAGTTTAGACATGTCGCTATTATGCTTACAAAACTCGACACTTTTTAACATAACCTTAATCTTATTGGAAATTACTTGGAAATCTTATTGCGTATGCCCTTTTATATTTTTTCCTCGGGCTCTTTCTTAGGTTTCCCTTGCACTATAAAAAGGATCATCATCTAATAATCAGAAAAGAGTTTCTTCAAAAATATTTGAACTGGGAAACACTAGAATCCCGAAGGACACTTTTTAACTTCAATTTCTTGTACACAAAAATATTTACAAATGAAATTGCTTTGCAATCATTCGACTATTTAGGAAATAATATTCATAGAACTCTGCGAAATATCCATTCTAGGAAAATTGCATTGTACCAATATTGGATAGTTTACCAGTTAATGTAGTTAAACTAGCAAATTCAGATGAATTCTTCAGTTCGTGTAAAACATTTCTCTTAGCTAATGTTATGAACTTAGTGTCGTTAAATGAAATAGCGAAGATAATGATGCAGGCACCGCGGAGAGTTGAGAAAAGTGGGGTGTTTAAAAAAGTGGGGGGCTAAAACCGAACAAAAAATGACCTTTCTTGTGATCCGTTGGTAATTTTTTTGCATTTTTGGCAAAAAGTGAGAGGAGGGAATATAGCCCCCTAGCCCCCTTTCTTCGCGGTGCCAGTGATGACAAGGCTTCTCTTTCAATTAATATTTAGTTTAGTAAGAATAAGAATGTAACTGTTTTTATCTTTTGTAGATTGAAATCGAAGCTGAGCTAAATGATGGATATCATCGTCATTGCCATCAAGTTAATATTGACAAGATCATATTCCGCGACTCAATTTGTGGTAAAAAATAAAATAGATATGAACAGATGTTGTTTACTTTCTTAAAATTATTGAATAATGTTAATGAATATATAAATTATCAAATTAATTTTTGTAAACCTATGCAATTTGTCTGTTATTTATGTATGATTTATGCAATAAGATGAACCAAGACTTAGCTTGTCTTCTTTTCTATCTGTAAATTCTTGCGACAGAATAGAAGTTTAACTTTTAAGACCTAGGTATGACCCGATAACTGTCAAGCAAAGAGATCACAAAAATCGGCGACACGTCGATGACAAAAAATGTAGTTTTATTTTCAATTTCCTCCGAGTATGGATAATGATTTTGAAGCCTCGACTTTCGGTCAAGGAAGAAAACTATTATGGACAATAGTTGTGGAAATAACTGTAAAGATAATTATGAGCAGCTTTTGTTGAAGGGTTTTGCAAACATAATGGGTTTTTGAGCAGCGTTCGTTGGGAATTTAGGGGTTTGGGAATATTTCCATGCATCCTAAATCACAGTCAAAGAAAGGTGCAGTAGCCTTTTTATTTGAGATTGGGAATATGCATCTTCTATGTAGGTCTTCTAGAATACTGAAGTTAATTAATCATTTCAATGTTATTTACAATCTTGGTCTACCAACTTTATTATATTTGTCATAATTCAACGGCCGCTGCTAAATAAGCTATTTATCACTTTGGTAGCCGCTACTTTCTATAATGGTCAAAGCTGCTATCTTCTCAAGAATCGGAAATAAACACGAGAGAAAACTCGCCTTACTTTACTTCTAATAATTATCTACTGTTGACTGTTGTCTCTTCAAATCAAAACACGTAATGAAGAAATTCAAAGACAGCATTATGCTTAAACCTCGTACGTGCACATTTTGATCTCGATTTGGTAAACAGGAAAATTTTACTGACTTCTTTTATGCTTCAAATGTGTTGCAAATGTGTTTTTTGTTTGAGGCGATATGGAAGTGAGCTGAGCAAAGTTCAAAGAATTTATAAGGTACGTGTATGCAGCAGATTGAAGATTTTGCTTGCATCCCTGCGGGGAAAGTGATAAAATCTTTTGGTTCCCTTCCCTGCCACAATATAATTAACTTTGTGTAAACCATGTTTTACTTTGCTACATTGGGGATTCGGGGTTCGGAACTAAGAAAATCAGATTTTTGAACGCAGGTGCCAAAAGGAATTTTTTATATCTGTTACTATTATTGCTCAATAGACTTTTCTGATTAATTTGTGTTTCAAATTCAAGGTAAGCCAAGGAAAAAGCTTGGGGCAATTTACTTCCCATTTGTTTTGTTGTTGATTCTTGTTGTCATGCGCATTGGCAAAAGTCATAGGAGCCAATAGGGGGGTAGGGCATTCGGACCCATGGGGTTTTTTAGAGGGTACTTCGGCCTACCATTGACTGAGTCTTTATAATGCAGAATAGATTTTATAAAGCAGGGTCATAATGCAAATACATGTACAATGCGAATTTACAAATAATGCAAATCTGAAAAATTCTACATGCAAGGTTTGCATGCAAAGCATGCCTGAAATCATCCTCTTTGTGTTGGATATGATTGATTGCCATACTCTGCAAAAAGGTCCAAATAGCATTAAACATGTAAGCAAAACAGTTCAGAGCATAAAATTTTTTTACACCAAATCCACAATGTCTTGAAAATAAAAACTGAGCAGCCTGGTATTCTGCCTTTGTCAGTTTGGTCGAATTTTTCCATCCCTGCAAAACATGAAATGCTATTTGCTGTTCATATTGTATTTGGTAATTATTTTTGTTAAAAGATTTTTCATCTTAACAATTATAAACTTTTTTCTAGGAAAAGCCTTGGCAAATTGAATATTCTAGACCTATTTCTAGAGCCTCATTCTAGACAGTAAAAATGGAAGATGGTATGCAGTTATTCGATAGTATTGTGATATGTGTTATTTCTAGCTGTTTGTTTCTTTTCTTATTTGTTTCCTATACATGAAGATGTATTGTTAGACTATTCATGTTAGCAACTTTTTGGATAATGATAAAGTATTGATGTTTTGAAGGAATTATTATTTCATTCTTTTTGGCAAATTTTTAGAGAGCTTTTCTGGCTAAAAGTAAGATTTCAAAAAAAGGTACCTTCGATGCAGTTTTTCCTTTGCAGTAGCTGTTTTTTCATGGAGAAGAAATGTGCTGTATTTTTGCACAGTACAATATTGGGTCAGTTTTGAAATCAAAGTTGCGAAGCATACTGGTGTGCAAGAGCCTTTAGCATCTAGATTTTATAGAGAATGTGTTGCTGGTTTTTATTTAGATTAACTCTTTTCGCATGTTTTTTTCTGTATTAGTGTAATATTTTTGATTTTGACCCAGTGAGTCTGCTGTCAGATCGAGAAGATTCAGATGACCAGAAACGCTCATCCATCGGAGAGCACGCTGAAAGAATATTCCCATCACATAGAAATGGAAGGTGGGAAGAAGAACTGAATTCAAATAAATTGATACCACACCTATCATAGTATTTGACTGAGACAAGAAAAAATTGATCAAATCTAAATTTGTTTAAAAGAATAAAGATATTGCAAGGGTTTGCTCAGAGGTTAAGGTCACAGACAACAAATCCAAGGTTTTGTGATATGGAGTGAACAGAGTGTCTTTAATTCCAGATGAACAAATTATGAAGTGTGGTCATATGAGAGGAAGGACCATGACACTGCTTTATAAACATAGCCTAAAACCTTCTTCCCAAAGCAACATTTGCAGCTACAAATATTGTCACTAGCAAATTTTATTCTATCTTACTGTAATTTTTTAAGCTTATGCAGTCAAGGAACAAAGTCTTATAGAACCATTGGGCTAGGATGATTTTTGGGAGCAGGTTTGTCAATTTCCTGCAGGGTTATGACATGATATATTTGACCTAAATAGCTATTGATATCAATGCTGCATCTGAAAGGATAATCATTTTATATCTTTGCTCTATGCAATATTTCCACTTTACAACACCAGGATTTGTCAAACTTTCATTTTTGCAAACCTTTTTTCTGAGTCTTTACAGGTTTATGACTTCTTTTCTCCAGCATTAAAATGATGTATTTCAGAGAAGAAATTCAAGAAATTTGCATGGTGTTGTGTTATCACATTTAGATTGTGGAAAATTTAGCCCTTAGTATTTTTGATAATCTATTTTACTATTTATAGGATTGGTTGTCTGTTGCCTTTGGCATCATTTATGGCTGCTCTTGGAGGTATCCTTTTTGGATATGATATTGGTGAGTTATTTCTGATATAAAGTAGATCTGCATTTTAAGAATTTTTCTCAGTATTGGCTAACTAGAATTCATTGGTATTTTTTGACTGTAAGCTATTTTATATGAATTTATTTGCTTGTTTCAGGCCGATAGTTTTTCCTTTGATGGGCTTGTCTCTGATGAGCTTGTCTCTGCAGCAACAAAAATTGTTTCCACAGGCAGTGCTTAAAATATGATTAAAACATAATATTTAAAGTTTGTGTTTGAGTAATACCCAAATTTGATTCTTTTTTAAATCAAAAGGGGATAAGAAACATTAGTTCCTAAAGGCTTTATTTTGCAACCCAGGGTTTGATCCAGAACTTCTTGAAGTTCTATTGCTAGTTTACAAAGAAAAGGCTTATAATAACAACCCTCATTATGTAAAGTGACATTTGCTGCCCTCATATCAGCCTCTAGAAAGTAAAAGATGAACCCCATTGAAATGTTATATGCAGAGTAGTGCATGAAAAAGAGACTACTTGTCCTGTTCTGACACTATGTAGATATAGAATTTGGGTTTTAACCTTTCTTGGCTTGTGTTACTATATAGCTTTACCAGTGTTTCCATCATATATCGTTTTGCTGCCTTGTGGAAAAAGGGGTTTGTGTGAATAGGTAACAGCTGCAGCTTTCTCAGTTTACAAGGATTACAGGATGTCTGAATAGACTAGGATTTAGAGGGTACCAGTCCTGACATCTATCTCTTTTAGCCTCAAATTTTTAGACATGTTCCCTTTGGCTGTCTGTTCATTCTGTAAAAAATATGTCAGTAAGAAAACCTCAAATGTCACTTGTTTCAAATAGACAGAGCCTAGCATAACAAAATTTTCCTGATTTAAGAAGTTTTACTTCTCATGCTCATTGTTTTTCCTGTTTCATTGTGAAAACCACTTCTTGCAGATGCAATTTTTCTAAAGGGTCAACCCTCTATTCAATGCCTAGGGCTTTTATAAAATCTATACTTCTTTAAGACTGAGAGCATCTTCTCAAATTGTGGCATTTGTAAACCGTTTAGACAAGGAAGGCATTCAATTTTTAGTGTTTGTTTATGTTTATTGTCTGCTAGAGGAACATTTGGAAGTGGGGGTGTTAATGCCCTTCAGAGGGCTAATCAGGAGCAAAGATAAAAAGGGGGGGGGGGTGAAAATAAACAGAGGAGCGGTTCAGTGGAGGATTTATAGTACCCTGTAAATCAATGAAAGCATCTTGTCTAATATCATTTTCCATCTCAGGGATAATATCTGGTGCATTGCTGCAGCTCAGGGAATATTTCCATGTCAGCTGTCACCAGCAGGAGATGATTGTCACTTCACTGATTATTGGTGGCCTTATTGCTTCTTTAGTTGGAGGTAGTGCTTATCTCATTATTCGTTTCATAATTAATTATCATTTTGATTATGCTTGTTTAATAATGCATATATAATTATTCATTATCAACATGAATTATCAATTGATGGATAAATTGAATCATAAAAGGAATCAATATATCATAAAGATGCAAACCTTTGTTTATTAAGTTATTGTGAACTGGCCATTTTATAATTACTTATCGAATAATTCTACTCTCTTCAGACTTTGCCTATATAAACAGTAACGGTTTAAGTAAAAGCTCTATTCTTTTTTGTTTGTTCAGAATTTTATTCAATTAACAGTAATAAGTGGAAAAACTATGTGCATGCGATAAAGAAGTAGACAAATAGAAAAAAAATACGATTTCTTATTTGTAACTTGCTGGAAGCCCGTTCTTAGGTATGGAAGTACAATCGAAAATACAAAGAAATGGAATCAAGAGTCTTGCGACCAAGGGGTTATGAAATTTCGACTCGTTTAACAATCCGGCCACAAAATCAGCATTAGTATTTCACTTAGTAAATCAATTTTTCGACCATTCTTTTCAAAATGAAATGATTAACAGCATCTGAACAGGTTTCTTTTATTATCCCCTTTGCAATTGCGCGTTTTTTTGTGGAAGAATTCCGAGAAAATGATGTTCTCAAGAGAAAGACGAGGAATGTAGAAAGAATGAAAGTGAAGAAACGACAAGTGAAAATATAATATATATAACTCAAAGTTGTTTTTTCTAGGTCAAATAGTGGACCACTTTGGAAGAAGAAGAGCTATAATTTTGAATTCCTTATTTTTCACTGTTGGGGCGATGGTATTAGCATTCTCAAAAGCATACTCAACACTGGTATGTCCATGGCTATTTCATTGCTGTTGAAAGCAAAAATTTTATCGTTTATTTCCAACTTAATATACCCCTTGAGATAAACTCGTGAGGGAGCCCGCCCTTATTGAGCCAAAACAGTATACGCTCTATGAAAAGTTCCACTTATTCTACCAGCAAATTATAATTTAGACTTTTTGTCTCTGGTATTTTCTCGTCTTGTATTCGAAACTTAACAGAACATAAGTAATCATTGTTCAATAAACTTTATTCGTTCTTGAACTACCATTTGAAATTCATAAACCATTAAACATTACTTAGTTATTAAAACACATTCAAAATTTTACGTTCTTTCTTTACGTGACTTGTATGAGTTTAACCTACTCGTGGATGTGTAGACAAGAACGATTCTGAGCTGCCACTACAGGGGTCATGCTTAATGCGAACTAGCCTAACATAAGATTACTGTGTTAGATTTGTAACCTAACATAAGATTATTGTGTTAGATTTGTAACGTAGCATAAGATTACTGTGTTAGATTTGTAACCTGACATAAGATTATTGTGTTAGATTTGTAACGTAACATAAGATTATTGTGTTTTTATCCTGATCAGATAATCGGAAGGTTGATGTTGGGTTTTGCTGTTTCTCTGTCTGCTATTGGTGAATGCATTTACATTTCAGAGATTGCACCACCGGTAAGAATTTGTTATCGAAATAACCTCTTCCCCTATTTTGAGTTGACTAATCGCCTTTGAACAGCCAGTCCTAACTCCTGTCACAGCCTGTAACAACATTGCTGGGTTGGAGCCAAGGACTGCGAAACCGGGGAAAACTTAAATTGCACAAGTAAAATGCTTCTATTTTGTAAATATTGCTGTTGTTACACTTATTTATCAGTATTTGGTTGAAGCTTATTTATCAATCTTGTATCTCAGTCTTTGGTTGAAGCTTAGCTGGCAAAGAAAATGTGTACAACCTCCCACCCTATCTTCCGAATACAACCTCTACATCCGAGTTGCTTAACAGCCTCTTAGCCAACAGCAGAAGGACGAGGCTGCAGTTTTTCCAGGAGTAGCTCAACAATTCGAAATAAAACTATTTTCTAATAAAGGGTTAATGTAATTCGCAGAATAATTGGATGTCGATAACTGGCGAATAAGGACAGCAATAGGGTCCATTTGATAGAGAATCATGACTAAAAGAATGATGAAAGCAAAGCAACAAGAATTTGATAAGTGAAATAAAACTTTCCCTCGAATGAGCCCTTTTTCTAAAACAAACGAAAACGTGTCTCCGGGGTGCTGATTCAAGGGATTTGTTTAAGTTCAGTACCATGCAATTTGTTTATGCGTTTTTGAGGCATTCCATCATACTATACTTATCAGGTACGAAAATCCATTTGTCAGTTTTGGGTTAGGGAAAACAAGTAACTTTGCTTACAAAGGACAAAATTTACCGAAAAAAGCTCTAAAAATGTGTTTTGACTGACAATGAAGCAAAAACTGGGGCCCTCGCCCCCCTCACGACGCCGAAATTTCTGTTCCTGATACTCAACACCCACGCAAATGCGGGAAATAAATGACTTTCATCTTTTGTATTTAAGGCTCGACGGGGGTTGCTTGTGAGCTTGAACGAACTTGGCATTGTTGTTGGGATTCTCCTTGCCTACTTGGTCAACTTTCTTCTGATCCAAAAGGAAAATGGATGGTAAGTATACATTTTACAAAAAAACCTGCTATTTGTTTATTCTTTATCCAAAACAGCCACTCAGAGAGCAAATTGAATTTCGTGACATTTCGAACTTTACGCGAAAATCTAATTTATGCAGTCATATCTACGCGAAAATCTTATGTAAAAATCGTCTTTCAGTTGAACATGGCGCGAAAATCTTACCTCCTCAAATTTTCTATTCGTCATGTTCTTCCGCAAAAATCTTAACGTAGAAAGTTTGAAATTTATATCGCCTAGGGTAAAGCATTAAAGTAATCAGCTTTAGTGAAGTAATCACTAATTGTTTTTTGCATTCATATAAAAATTCAAAATTTTGATTCATTTTTTTTGCTTGCTTCAGGATACCTCGGCGGTTTTAATGAAGCTAATGATAGAGGCCTCTTTCTCCTCAATAAACATATCTTTGTTTTCAAACAGGCGCATTATGTTCGGTCTCTCAGCTATACCTGCGCTGCTCCAGGGCCTGGGTATGATGTTTCTCCCGTCAAGCCCAAGATGGCTGGTATCAATGCAAAACATACAGGAGGCAAGGATTTCAGATTTCTTTTTTTAGAAATTTATATTTTGAAGGGCAGGACTGAATGACAATGTTTGAAATCTTAAGAATGAGATGGGCTGTGTTTGAAAATATTTGAAAATTGATTTTATCTTTCAAACAATCTTTTGGTGGTACAAAACTTGAAAATGGCTTTGAAAAAAGCAAACATTTGAGTAAACTAAAGCTTTTCGTCTGACACTCTTCAGAGTTTCAAAACGTCAGAACATAGAATAGAGATCGTTCGATTTGAATAAGAGAAGGAATTGGGGTCCAAGTGTACCTGATAATTACAGGGAGAAAAAATGAACAAATATCCATACAGGACGCCCTTATGGAACGGTGTGAGGAAAGTAACGGGATGTTGATCAGGTTGGGTACCGAGATACGGGAAAGACGAGGTGATCAGTGACGGGGAGCAAAGACGGACTGGAAATGAATATAACTATCATGTTGTTTTTACAGCATTTTCCGAGCTGAATGGGTGTTAGACGTTAGATTGTATCTCTGTTGTATTTAGAAGTATATAGAATATTTCAGAATGAATACACCGAGAAAAATGAACGTTGCGAGTGATGGAGTAAGCTCGCGATGGCAGGGACAAGAAGATGTTACCGGTGATGCGGATAATAATCGGGGGAGAACGTTAGCTGAGAATTAGAATACGTGCCGACTACGCACACGCATTCAGAATGTAGAGGAAGTAGGAGGACCGCAGTAGAAGACCGAGAAATGGTCGTAAACAAAGAGGAGCAATATAGTCAAGTAGAGGGTCTCGCTAAAAAACCTAGAAAATTCAACATCGAACGTCCAACGAGACAACGTGACATCGCGATATAAAGAATAATTTGTTCCCGGTAATGAGAGTAATGATACGCGGACGAAAAGATGCGAAGGATAAGAGAGCAAAGTACAATGATAGACATGTCCGGCTGATACTAAGCAGATAACTAGATTCAGCTTAGAATAGACTGCCCCTTGATTTTTACAATAATAGCATAACAAACATTTAGGTAAATTTGATTCAGGGTATAATCAGCCATGACCAGGAAAATTACCCATACTAAACTTAAGGTAAAATAATATATACCACAATTATATTTTCTTTAGTATCATGAAGTGAGAACTGAGAAGGGTTTTTACCCAATTACTTATTTCAGCTTCCTTCATTTGCCCCAAGAACTTTCCTTACCCCTGTTCATTGTTACCCCCGGACACAGATTCGTATTTTGTTGGAAAATATATAAATAGTCCTTGCAGTGATTATTTGAACCAAAAATTATTAGAATCTTTAAGCAGTGTACAAAACCTTTACCTATTTATTTATTTTGTCGTTGCTTCGTAGACTTTACTCTTCTCCCTTGCAGTGTTGATCGAACCGATCTCTACTTACTCGTTTTTTCTTGACAGCTTTTTCGGGGCTGCTCGTATCCACTGTCAGGGTTAATGCCCCAAGATATTGCCATTACAAAGCTTTCTGTCAACAAATATTTCATTTCAAAAATTTTAGGCCAGACTTGTGGTTGCTAAACTTTGGCCTAGCTGTGATGTAGACCATGAAATACAACGCATGAAGGCTTCTTTGAAAACTGAAAAGGTAACATAAAAACTTCGTCCTTCTAAATACTCTTATTCAAGGACGTGAAGCTCAGAATTGCCTTCTAGAACATTTCTTTTCTACATACTTAAGTACGTACCGCTCTATATGGCAAATAGCACTTTAGAACATACCAATAAACAGAATCTTCATTAAATAACTCTTCATTAAATAATTCATTAAATTTCTTTATTCTTGAGATCTGGAGGGTTGTTGATACTAAAATCATTGCTCGCTGCTATCATTTTTTTCATGTGATTTTTGTATCTTTTATTGTAGGAGTACAAAATAACAGATCTTTTTAGCAAGAAAGAAAACATGAGGCTGCGAATGGTCATAGGGTGTGGAGTGGTGTTTTTCCAGCAGGTATGAATTACCATCAGTACTAGTTTTTAGCTTGGAATTTCAATTTGAAAATTGAAGTTGAGGTCCTAAACGTTTCATCGGCATTAATGTATGTTAGGCAGTACAACTTAAAACAGAAAATGTAAATCTAGGATCTGTGCTTATTGGAAAACAGATTTTACGCAAGTAAATAGTTAGTTATGAATTCAAATCAAAGTCATTGTATTTTGCAACCGTCTTTATTCTCAAAACCTAATTTTCACTTCAGATTGTTATCTATCAACAACCTATGCACCATATTTATTGGCTACACCCTTTTGTCCAGTTCAGTGTTCCTGTTTGTCCAATATCATGTAATTTTTAAGAGGGGAAGGGGTCGATGTGAGATTCGTCCTTCTTGTATTGCGAGTTGGTGCCGAATAAAGTTGTCAGCAGTGAGAAAATTGTAACTAGATAAAGCTGGAAAACGACAACTGCGAAACATATCTCAAAACTCGTTTCCTGTTATTTCAATAACCATTTAAAATTGTTTGTTCGAAGCTTTTTGTGCCAACCTTTCTTGTTGGTAGCAGTTAAGCCGTGTCGTGTACCATAACCAGCCATTTTGACAAACTTTTGTTTTTCCAGATAACTGGCCAGCCTACCGTTTTGTATTATGCTCCTGCGGTGTTTCAGTCACTTGGTTTCAAATCTAGCTCCTCCGCAACGCTGGCAACTGTTGGTCTTGGGGTTGTCAAGGTATTATTTTTACTATATCAAGCTCTACAATACAACTAACACTACATAGAAAACTCAGAACAAGATTTTATCTAGCTACAATCGTGCAAAGTTTGTATTATTGGATTTTCACGCAAGATGTCTATTTAGCTTGTAAAAGACAGGCTATTTGGTGTACAGTCCACTGCTGATCGCAGTAAAGTTAATTATCGGAGTAGCAGCTTAGAATCGTTCTGTTTTCTATACATCGAGTAGCCTGCACAGCTCTGCTTATACGGCAACGAACACTTTGTAACAGACTGGTAAACAGTAATTTTCATTAGCTTAGATTTACCTAGCAAACCAAGAAAAGTTGAATTGAGAAAACCATATTTATTTCTTTATTTGTTTCATTCGAAAAATCAAACTTGGATTACAAAAAGTCAATCATCTTTATCTGGCAGGGTTTTGAAAAAATAACAATATTATTCAGAACTCTCTTCCAGATGAAAACCAGTGTGAGCCTAGATTCACCTCACAGTTTCTGATTTCCATTTAAAGTACTTCAACAATGATACTTTTGCTCATTGTAAACAAAATGTATCCTTAAAGACTGGCGTTAGAGAAAAATTCAATTTAAAAGAATTGATAACCCTGACGTTTGATAAAAAATGCCAGGCAATCTGCATGACCAACCACTTACATGGCATTGCACTTGCAAACATTCTGCATAGACTAATTTCCTTCTGTCTAGACTTATAGCATAGGAAGGCAATTTTAAACATAACTGTATATATTTTCTAGGGGTGTACCGGATCAGGATTTTCAGAATCCGGCCGGAACCGGATTTACCGGATTTCTTCGTGGAATATCCGGCCGGATTCTGCCGGATAATCTGACCATTTATAGAATTTTCAGTAATAAAAAGTTTTGAGCCACTTTGCGAAAAAATGTATAGCGAGAAGATCAAAGAGACCTATTCAGGGTTGCCAGATTGAATTTACAAACAAAGGATAGACTGGTGAGCAATTTAAGCCAAAATGCTCATAAAAAGGCCAAATCAAAAACTCTCTCAAGAATCCATCGAGCAGGCACTGGTAAAATTTCTACACTTGTGCCTGTTAGATAATTTCTTAACTTTGATAAGAATCTTACTTTTTTCCAAAACCCTTTGCTAATATCAAGATAATATTTAGGTTAGGTGATAAAATTTTAAATTTGGTTAACACTTTGTAGTTAACTACTAATTATTCTATGAATGTAGTAATTACTTATTAATTTTGGACGTCTGCTGAAAAGGCCAACAAGGTCAAATTTAAGTAGTAAGCAAAAAACAATTTTTCCAGGCAATCTAAATCTAAAAACCAAAAATGAAAAATTTGGCCTAAAAAGCCGATCTGGCAACCCTGGACCAAATTTGTGAATTATATCATCCAGTCTTCCTGTTTCGTGATGACGAGCACTTTCATTTCAAATCTGTTTTCAAGGCGTTTGTTTTATCGTCGATATTGTTTAGTTCTGGAAAATCCATTTTTAATCATTGTATGAAGGGAGTCTGACTTGGTTTTCCAAATTTTCTTAGTTTTGATTAAAGTTTTAGAAAATCTGGCAACTGGCCGGATTTCGGAAACAAATCCGGCCGGAACCGGATTTTCAAAAAATCAGCGATCCGGCGCCGGATTATCCGGCCTACCAGATGTCCGGTACATCCCTAATATTTTCCAGGCTTTAAAAACTTTCAGGCTCTGTTACCTCTCTTTTAGGTTGTTTTTACGACTTTCACTCTGATCAACGTCGATAAACTTGGTGAGCAATTTTTTTAGCCTGATGATAACATGTTCTGTGGTTTAACAGCTTTAATATCATCTCAAAAAGTCAACATAGAGCTGAGTAAACGCTGCGAAGCCAGGGGGCATTAGAATTACTCCGTGAGCCTCTGTTTCGCTACTGCCTCACTTTACAGACGCTACAAGAGAGGCTGTTTCAGATAAGGGAGCATTACCTTGCATCCTGTAAAACGAACAACTTTCACAATATTAACTTTTTGAGTTATGCAAGTCGAAAAATATCACCTACTTGTTAGCTTAGCTTGTATTTACCTAGTTTGCGAGGATTATCATTTTGTTCTTTGTTTAATGTTAATTTTATGCTTCCAAAACTGACTCTGTGTATATTACAGAAATAGGTCGAAAAATAGAGACTTAAAAAACTGAACTGAAACATTGTCTTACTGTTTCTGCAAGAGGATCCAGCCGACTATGGTGATTAGCTCTACCAATTTGTCAACGAATGCTCAGCCCATGCCCCTTAGTAAATAACATCCTATTATTTGTTTATGTTTTTTATATTAAAATTTTCCTTCTATCGGTTGCTCGTAAAGCATTCCACTTTTTATATTCATAGGTCGTCGGCTTCTTCTTCTCCTGGGTGTCGGAATAATGACAGTGAGTTTGATGACCCTCAGTTGTGTCACCATCTCAGTCCATGATTTACAGACTCGGAATCCATGTGACAAAAAAGTTATTGGTGCGGGACATACCTACATCAGTGACCCAGCGTATGACCTCAAAAATCACTGCCATGACGTAAAAACTATAAACTCAACTAATACTACGACGTTGACAAGGGACAGTGTTAAAAACCTCAGCCTTCGCTCCGTGAAAAGTACAGGTATCCCCAGGCCTAAAAGCAAAATGGTAAAGCTGCTAAACTGCACAATGAAGCATAAACATTTTTCGGCCAAGGAATCGAAGGAGCTACATCACCACTCACCAGCTTTGAAGTATGTCTGTCTCATATCGCTAATGGTTTTTGTTGCCGGCTATGCAATTGGATATGGGCCAAGTAAGTATATACTATCGCTGTTTGATTTGCTTGTGAGACGGGTAAGTGTACAATGATGGGTATGTTTAGAAACCTTACTGATAATGCTCTTTGTACGAATGTGACGGCGTTTCCTCTCTCTGGGTAGCGGCGATTAAATTTTTACTTTGCTATAGCTACATCTGTTGCTGGACGGAGCTACCCATCAACAAACTCATTTTCGTTGAAATTCATTGAAATATCTATATATTAAAAAAAGAACAATTCAGTACAAGTAAAATGTGAAGAAACAACATTAGGTTTTCATCAAATCACCAAAGCCAACTAATAACCAAACAAGTAGTAGATGACTATTCATCTTTAATGTTTTTTCTTATAATGTTGATCAGGTTATGAGAAACCCTTTTTGGTATTGTATTTAGCTTGGCTAGAAATTATTTGACCTGCCTCAATTTGCATCTTAAGTATGATTGTCATAAATAGCAGGATTGATTTAGTATTTTAGTTGATCGAAGGCAACATTTGTTGTTTTTGTCAACCTCGTCTTCGTACCGTAAACGCTTCAATACGAGGTATGCACATCCGTAAATTATTCGTGCAAAAAAAGTTGCACCATGTATTGACACTTCAAATGCCCCTAAATAAAAGCGCACTGTGATCTATAAACCTCATTTCAACCAGCCTGAAATAATTCATTTTGATTACTGGATTTAGGCTGGGCCAGACGCTTCCTGTTTCATGTGTTTGTTCTTTGACATTGATAGCATACCTTCCTCAAGAACATTCGATCTGGAAAATATCAATTGCAATGTTAATATTTGTTTTCCAGTGTCATGGCTGATTCTTACTGAAATATTTCCTGTTGGTGTAAAAGGCAGAGCAGTGGCAGCAGCGACAGTATTCAATTGGGGAACAAATATTCTTATATCGATGACGTTCTTGGAAGTGATAGGTATGTCTAGGAACCTTACTGATAATGCTCTTTGGACAAATATGACGGTCTTTTCCTCTCTCTTTTCCTCATAGGTACATCTCTTGCTGGATGGAGCTACCCATCCTGCAACTCATTTTCAGATTCATTGAAATATCTATATGTTAAAGAAAAGAACAATTCAGTACAAGTAAAATGTGAAGAAACAACATTAAGTTTTCATCTGTCCATGACGTAGGTGGAGCCGGATGTAAGCGCCCTAACACTCCAAAGGCCGTATGGACTTTATTTTTTCTTGTAGTTAAGGGAGCTGTAGTTTCCTATCACAGGCATAATGAAACACTTATATGTAATGCTGATAACGGAGCCTCCCCTCTCCTCCCCAACACCTCGCTCCAACTACCTTGATTCATGATCCAAGTTCCATTATTGGTGGAAAATAAACTCTATTGTCTTTTCCTTTTGTGAATTTAATTCAGTGGCGGACACCTGGGGTTTGAGGGCGACAACATTTTGGAGGACAATGCTCTTTTGTTTTAAAACAATGAGGAAATGTGACGTCATCTTATCAAAACAGTAGCCTTGCCCTCCCTCCCCAATATTTAACCATTTGTCCGCCCTTTATTTATTTCTGAAAGAAGGTTTATCAATGACTTTCATGGTTTTTATACTCAAGTGAACTTAGGCCAGCTCGCCAACGGTTACGGTTCTGTTCAGCTTGTGTTTTTTTTGTTTTTACAGGCTCACTAGGACCCTCCATCACATTTATGATTTATTCAATTCTCGGTTTCTTTGCAATGATCTTCGTTTATGGATTCGTTCCCGAGACGAAATGCAGAAGCCTTGAGCAAATATCTGACGAACTCAGTAAGAGGTAAGTGTTTGTTCAACGACGCTTATTTGGATGGCCAGTAGGTTTCGACACTGGGGTGATGTTCGAAGAAAGCAGTGAAAACTTCCCACTTTCCCGTTACTTTGCTGAAAGGAATATCCTGCGTTAAAACGCGGGTTTCTTCATGTCCCATCTATGTCTATGACTATGTCCCATCACTCAGCCGTTCGGAGTTAAGAATAGGCTTTGCATCCCGTTTATGATCGAGAAAACAATGCGAATAAGCCTTACATTGCCGATTGGATACATAACAATAGGTCTTTTGTATAGTCCAACCAATGTTAAATTTAAATGGCCAGCGAAATTCGTCGGGACGTACTGCCTTTTAAGCCTTTCGTTGAACTTCAAGATTAAAGGTAAAAACAGTGCCATTTCGCTACATAATCTGAGGTCAGCAATTAACGTGGGAATGATGTTAAATAAATGGAGGGGGTCATGGCCAAGTCTAAAGTTGAATAAACGGAAGTCTGAAGGGAAAGTATCGTTGAAATTTGATATTTTAGTCGGAAATTTTCGTCGATGGAACAGGGAGGTTGGAATAAGGAATGGGGGTTGTAAAAAATCTGAAAGTTGTTAACGAAGGCCTGTTTTTTACCGATCTCGGAGCACTTCAAGTACTCATTGCCTTATATAATGCTTATAATCTTTGTTTTTGAATGCAGATCAAGCTTCTGTCTTGGCAAAACACATTGCTTTCAGAGACCATCTCGCGGTCATCTCAGTATAATCGAGGATGCAGAACAGATTGATACGCGAATGTGAGTGATCGATGTTCAAGTTGGTGGTACAATATGCAGCTTGTACTTTCATAGCCAGCACTCGCAGATTTGAGTTAGCCAGTTGGTTGGTCAAATGTGCCAATTGTTATCATCAAAAATGATAAGCAGTCAAAGTATTAGATGAAACATGCGACACAAAAGTTCCTAGATTTGCTATCTAAGTTACCTGTGCGAACTGGAGAGTTGTCCTGAGATAGCCATGCCTTGCAGTTTGCTAGATTATCTGTCACAGTAATTGGTGCAGCAAAAGTTTCTAGATAGCTGTATCTTGCATCTTAGCAGATTTGTTGTTGCTCATGCGAGCTAGCTTGAGAAAACCGTGCTTTGCAGTTTTGCAGACTTGCTGTTGTTCAAGTTATATGTGTAAACTTGGAGCGTATTCCACCAAAACTATATCTTGCATCTAAGTTTACCTTGCATCTTGGTTGATCATTGCTGTCCAAGTAATTGCTTTAAATGCATTTAAACTTGCATCAGATGACCCATTCCGAGGAACAAATAACTCCACAAAAATCTCGTTCACCTTTGGTTGCAATCCTTTTGTTTTAACTAAAGTCCATAGAAACTCTCTAGTGTTGGTGGAAATCTCTTATGCTATTTTCGAGAGTGAATTGCACCTTTACCAATTCTTGCAATTTGTCCTCCCTTTCTATAACTTCTGCATCACATACCATTAGAAGAGAGACCAACAAGGATCCTTTTTTGAGGACATTTACCATTTACCATCAAGTTTATTTGGTCGTATCGATTATTCGGTGTAAGATTTAATGCAATAGGTACAGTGTTGTTCGCTAGAGAGCATCGTTTGGCAAATAGTCGTTTTTTTATACACCAATGCAATACAGTTTGGTTTCCATTTAGATTTACATAAGGAGTAGAATTTTCAGGCTCAAGCTGCTAGGCAGGAGTTCCCTTGTTGCCTAATTCCTATTCTGTGGTTGCATGTCAAAGAAAAAGGCTACCCGATGTTTTGTAATAGAAGACGACCTGAGACAACGACCTCGAGTTTTTTAATGAAATTCCACGTAGTAGAAGGTAGACTTCAGTCTCTTTACCACAATGTTTAGGATTTTAGAAAAGATTGTAAAGTTTTTAGGATTGTTCTTTTAAGCTTTTGGACTGTAAAAGGTCAGTATCAGGGGTTAACTTTCATCACAGTTTTAGTTTAAATAGGGATGGATTTACATTACATTCAATTATCAGAAGAAGTAAAGATGTACAGATTGGGGTTTTTGTTAGTATTTTCATAGACGTAGGAACAGGGAGCACAGGGGCAAAGACTTTCCAGAAATAGAACTAAAATACCTATTTGCAGGTCATGGAGATGCCCTTTTTGCCTACATATGCCCTCTAAGTTTTGAAATGCTTCCTACGTGTATGGATATTTTGTATATATGTAGATGAGCTGTAAAGTTGTTTTGTATTTCACAGCTATGAGAATGTTGGCTTCCATTCTTGTTGTTGTTTTGATTATTCTTTCTTTCCAAGCTCATTTTACACCTAATTTAATGCAATCGTTTATTCTAACGCTCTCAGTTAGAGCTTTTTGATTGTCAGATATATCTAAATACATCTGATATACGAAGATACAGAGGCTTCTTTGCCGAAGTGTAATAAGGTTTGAGTAGTGAGAGATAAACAGCGAGAGATAGCGTGCAACTCGTAATGAGAATCAATATGAACTGACTAATGATTCTGAACAGCGATTGCAATATATACAAGCAGGAAGAATATCAAAGCATGATTAACATAATTTAGTATCTAGGTTCCAGTCCTATTACAAGAGCCGGGGGAGGGGAGGGGGTAACTTCCACATGCTCTTGTACGAAATTTTTTGGGGTACAATTTTTTAAAAAGAAAACAAATTTTGGGGTATAGATTTTGGTAAAATCAAACATGGTCATAAATTTTAGGGTTGATTTTTAGCATGACGTTAAATTTTGGGGAATCATTTTTATAAGAAAGGTAATATGTTTTCATTTACTCGATTGATTTGTTGGTTTTTTGAAATTTGAATGAAATTCAAGGGTACGCATTTCATATTTTATTTGATTTCTGGGGTAGGGTTTTTAGATAATTTATAAATTTTAGAGTATGTTTTCATATTTCAAAAAGGCACAGCCCCGTCCTCTGCCAATTGAAAATTATATTATGCACACATATATAATTAACTATTAAATAAATTACATTAAATAAATGAATAATTAAACAATTAAATCGGGTGCATTTGGTCGTAGTACATAGTAAACTAAAACTAAAGCAAATCTGTTTGCATTAAAAGCTGTCAGCACCTAAGTAAAAGAGTGAAATTGTTAGAGTTGTCTTAAGTCATCAGACAAATGTAGGGCTTTGACCTAAGTTATTTTGGTACCCCTGTGTTTGGACAGACTTGCGTCAAACTTATTGTTAGCTTTTATCGCGTATGTTCAGATGAGTAATGTGAATCCCAGTATTCAAATTATTAGATTATTCTTTTACAACGTTTAAGTCGAAGACATGTAACTTTTAAGTGATATTTATCGTTATGTTCCATTAAGTTTGTCTTGTCGAACCTGCGTTTGTAAATAATATCGATTTATTATGACGAAACAAGAGTTTCACAAACATCTTTTTCTAGAAATAAACTTGACCGGTTTATATCAATTTTATTTTATTTCAAGCATTTACACGCCCAGTTAATCGAGAGGACTACTTAACAGGGGTCGATGTTGAGCTTTCAATAAAATCAAATAAAAAGGAAATTTTTTAAAAGCTAAGATAATATTTACAATATATAATAACCAAATACAGAATTAGATAAAGCTTGACTGAGGAGGACGCCTTTCAGTTCAAAAGAGGGAGCTTGTTTAAAGGCAATTTATTCCAGTTCTTTCAAACCCTGAGACGATATAGCTTCATGATCAACACATATGTTCATCTTTGGAACAGCGACATCGACAGTCAATGTGTGCAAGTTCATATTTAAGTCAAGTTCAAGATTGTTCTTATATAGGTTAGGAAAAAACAGGCGTACGACCTGGTAATGTTTTGTACGTAATAGTAGCTGTTTCATTCTTTGGCATATAGAAAATTGTAGGCCAATTAAGACACTTGATCATCTTTATAATAATCACCAATCACAGCTGCTTTGATGACTTTTCTAGCAGCTCTGTCTTACAGATTTGGTAAAGTTTGCAATCCTGTCTCGCTGCAGCCTCCCCTTAGAGAACAGCATTGACGGAAATGAGGCTCTAGAAGGGCATGACACATTTTCTTAGTGTGCCAATTTCAGTGCCATCACTAGCAAATGATGGGGACTCTGCTTTTTTGTCAGCAATCATTCTTTAGTTTTGTTGAGAACCTACAGCGATTGCTTGTGCCTTCATAACATCTTCTCTGTAACTATTCCTTTAACCGATCAAGGTAACTATAGATCACTGATGTCTTTCGCAGAATATGTAATGTAACTCTTGCATCATCAGTTTACATCAAGTTGCATTTCAGGATAGACCCTAGGAGATCGTTTTTATAACTTAGAAAAATAAGTGGACCAAGACACGAGCCTTGTGGCACATCATACTCTAATCTTTGAGAATTAGAGGATACAACGCCTTGGAAGATTGAGGCCTATGTTGCAGATAGGATCGAATAAAGGATGGCCATGCCCGAAAATTTCACATTTCTACAGGTTTTCAAGTAAAATTTGATGATCAATCGTATCAAATGCTTGTGGTAGATCAATAAATTCAAACGCAGTGTATTTCCCGTTATTCATATCAACACACCAATCGTCAGATTTTTTTGGCAAGCAGGTAAATACAGAGAACAAACTCTTGAAGTCAGACTCGTAAACGGAAAAGTTCCCGTTTGATAAGAATGGCTTCATTCTAAACTTACCTCCAATGCCAACAGAATCCGTAGTTATTTTGTGCGGCAGCAAAATTTATTTATAAGCATGAATAATTAATTATTCTGGTTGTATAAACTGGAAATTTTGCAACGTTATTCTGCTTTAGCAGGTCAGAACCAAATTTCTATAATTGTGTGTGACCTCTCTACGTATAGTAAAACTGGTTTGCCCAGTTCTGCCTGCAATTTTTTATAGCAGTCGCAGCGACTGAGACTGTAATTTCGTACCTCTGCGGAGGATATGCGTAAATTGCATATGTCTGCGCAATCTTCATCGAAGTCTTTTCATTTAAAATTAGAAGCAGTTTTGGAAGTCTGTCCGATTGATAGTTCTTCTCAAGCTTCTTTTGGTGACCTATAACGGCTTCACCATTTCAGCAAGGCCGCAGAAAGTAAGAAGGCGGGTCACAGAAACTGGTCGTGTAAGTAGTAATTGTTTAAAGGACCTGACGACGCTTTTTTCTTCACGTTATTTTTGCTTCCGATAGGGCCTAAAAACACGTGCAAGTTGGCAGGGGTCTGTTTGTTCAATGTCGAAAGCAACGAAGGTCTAGGGCCAAGACATTTGTTAAACCGAATTTAAGAAACTTGTCCAAAGAAATGTTATAAACTCCTATTTTTCTCTTATTTTGTTATCTTTAGTCAATGTGCAAATATTATACTATCATAATAGGGCACCGACATGCGCGGAAGGAGGTCCCTAATTTCAAACAAGGTGCCAAGAGTATCAAAATCTTTTCAGGATCAAGCATTTTTAGTTGTTTATCCAAAATTCCTCTCTGTGCTCTAAACGTAACATGAGCTGTTCCTTTTCACTACCGATTTTACTCAGTTTTTCATTCATGACGAGTCTAGCATCTTCAGTGAAGTTATTGGTGGAGTTATTAAGTGTTGACAGGCTAGAAATAGAATGGTTGAAGTGGATTTAATGGCATCGTTATGTTAGCTATTTATTTGTAGATTTATCTATTTGTTTCTCTGATTTGCCAACATGTTATGGTTTACATTTCTGTTTATTGCATAAGGTATATATATGACAAATTTATTTTTGCAATTTACATCATAGGAAATTTGATAAATTGATTTCCATAAAGCATTGTAGTTTCTAGGCCATATTTGCAATGATGGTTACCAGTGTTTGTGTTGCTTCGGTCGGTTGGAGCATTTTCCATTCCATTTGTTCTCTTGAAACATTGCCAACCTTTGTAATTTAATGTTGACTAAAAGAGGATTGAGGGACAAAAAAAGAGAAAAGCTTGGATAAAGCAAACATATTAACTAAAAGCTTTTTCGTCTGACACTCCTCAGAGCATAAAATGTCAGAATAAAGGTCGGAAAACTTGCGATCTTTACCTTAGTATAAGATAAAATTACGTCTTCTGGATAGTCATTCCAGAAAGATTGTTTTGAGTTTTTCCAGTTCAGCGTGTAGTTTAGATTTCGAGCAGATCATAAGTGCCCTATGTACTAAAGTTTTGACAAGGTTGACTTTGCGTTGTTTTGGGCAAAATGAATTCCAGATTATGTATTGACCGGTAAAAGTGGGCTTGCAATATACACTGGTAAGAAATCCAGTGTTAGACTCTCGACCAAAACATCTAAAAATGGCTTCCTTTTCAAACCTAAACTGGAGGGCTGAGTGTAGGCTATTAAGGTGTTTTAGAAAGATATCACACTCAGCCTCTGTTTTGAAAATGGTATATGTGTCATCCACATACCGAAAATAGACACCTGGCTTTTGGTCACAGTCAAACAAATGTTCTTCATGAAAGCCAACAAAGATATTGGCCAAGGCAGGTCCCAGACAGCTACCCATAGCGACACCATCCTTTTGTTGGTACATTTCATTGTTAAAACTGAATTCAACTGAACGTGTTGCAGTTTCCATCAGTTCAATGAATACTTCCTCTGGGAATGGTGGGCTATTAAGCTCGCTCCGCTACAAAGCGTCGGCACATATTTTGATGGATTCACTCAAAGGGCATTTGTGAAAAGACTACTAAAGTTGAAAGAACACATAAAAGATATTTCGTTTTTTCGATGTTCAAGTTTTGCATAAACTCAGCAAACGTTAAAGAATCCTTGATGCAATGTTTTGAATATTTTTGAAGAACAGGGTCCAAAACTTCAGAAAGCCACTTAGCCAGTTCGTGTTGTGCTGAACCAATCATAGACAAGATAGGTCAAGTGGGACATTCGGCTTTTGTATATTAGGGAGGCCATACATTTGTGGTCGTTTAGAGCCTGTGGGTCTTACATATCGAAATTTCTGTAGCCAACACTTTTGAGTTGACCAGTTCCAACAAACATTTTTGGAGTTTAAGCTCTAGTTTGGCCGTTTTGTCATGTGTTTCGACATCACTCAATTTAGCAAATTTTTCTTTGTCATGGAGAATTAGCTCCATTTTTCTGATGTAGTCCTTTTTGTTCAAAATCACCACTCCAGACCCTTTATCAGGTTTTGTAATAAAGATGTCATTGTTAGCCCATAGAGATTTTAGTGCTTGGAAATGTTCTCTATGCAGAAGAAAATCAGAGTGGTTAATGGGAGAGCCACTATACGCATATGCCAAATCGCTTAGTCGGATCGTAATTTGTTGAATTCCAAAGGGTTAAAAATCTCATGTTTAGCAAGTTGAGCGTGTAAAATTTCGAATTCAGCAAAGAGTTCCTCTCTGTTGATTGTTTGGGATACAAAATTCAAGTCCATTACCTAAGACAAATGTTTCAGTATCAGAGAGAGAATAATCCGATAAATTGAAAATATGTTTTTTGGTATCGCTCAACGTGCCACCGAAACGTTTCCTTACTTGCATGCCAATATTCCTATTGTGTTTTTCTGTAGTATGTTTTAGTGTCAGCTGGTCAATTTCAGAAATGTAGCGGCAAAGTCGAAAATTGTCAAGGAATGTAAGAAATGGACGCGTTTTAGACCATTGGCGTGTATACATGTGTTATAAGTTCAGAACATTGGTTTTTGCTTTCTGAATCTCATCTTGGAGAAAAGCGCGCTCAATGGTTGGGCTTTGTCTTACACCAGACTTGGAAATACGAGCGGTGATAAACTTTGGCACAACGCGGTTAAAGATGAAGATAAAGATAAAGAGAACCTGGCCGTCCTCATAACTTCACCAGTTGGTTGAGATCCTCAATCTCCTGTTGTCAGTCTAGACCTGTAGGTCTAGAAACATTGTTGAAACAAGTGATTTTGCCACCGGTTAACATCTTTTAGACAACCCAGATTGTGCAAAACTCTATAATGATGACATGTTTCGGATAATTGGCAGAGCCCGGTCGTCCTTTCATCTAGCAGTTTTGGAATCAATCTACATACAAACAACAAAGCCGCCATTGTGTAGACAGAAGGAGTTTGTTTTCTCTCTTGGACCCCAGTGGTAATTTTTCTTTATGCACGCGGCACTGATTGGTCAACTATACAGGTCTTGTGCTTGCCTTTTATTGATTGGCCTATTTGGATCCACAACTGGGTATATATTTTTCATTGTTTTCTTTCGGACCTTTATTCTGACGTTTTATGCTCTGAGGAGTGTCAGACAAAAAAGCTTTTAGTTAATATGTTGTGAAATGTTTGCTTTTTTCAAAGCCATTTTCAAGTTATGTACCGCCAAAAAAGGAGAAAAGCTTGGATAAAGCACTCCAAACTGACACAATTAGCCCTACCCAAAGCCATTTCATGCCCACAACTGAGTCAAGGAACAAACGAGTTTGTTTTTATGGGCATAGTTAAGGTAAAAACTAAAAAACCAATGTGTGGATGAAATTGTAATGGAAAATGGAAAATCCAAAATGAGAAAAAAGGAAATAAGGAGTAGTCACTACCACCTGGTTACAGCCTCAAACCCAGCTCGAGGGTGGTTGTGTGTGTGACCCTTGTATGTTTTGAGCAATTAGCTTGAAAATGGGCAGAAAATGATAAATAAAGCAACTCATCAGCCAGAAACTCAAAAGGGACATTTCGGGGCTTTAATTCGGTTGACCTTTGAGGTTAGGCATTCTAGTAAGAGCTATAACCAGTCTGGTGTTATATCAAGGAAATTGATTTTTTTCTCTAGATTGTTGAGCTTCAAATTTGATTGTTTTGTGCACGTTATTGGTATAAGTAAGGAATTTAGTGAGGGAAACTTCATCATATTGCCATATCATGAAAATATAATCGATAAATTGTTTCCAGAGTAGAGGTTTCTCCCCTTTTGGGGCTGTAGAAAGGATATTTTGTTCATTAACGGACATAAAGATGTTTGCAAAGTTTGGGGCAAAAGGGGTACCCATGACAGTGCCATGTGACTGTAAATATGGCTTTCCATTGAAGGAGAAAAAATTTCCTTTTAATGCAAACTCAAACATTTGTTATAGGTGTGTGGTTGGTAGGGGTAGTTCAGTGGCATAAAATCAGTTAACGCCATTATGTAGTGTAGAATGCCCTCATCTTGTGGTATATTGGTATAGAGGGATTTAACATCCAGGGTACACAGAATGACACCAGGTGGAAAATTCTGTCTCTCTCTGAATATAATTTGGAGAAAATGATTGGTATCTTTGACATATGAGGGTACAGGTTTAACAATTTTTTTAAGAGATGGTCCAGAATTGGGGAGTCTCTCAGTGGGCAAACCGCACCCTGAGATTATTGGTCTGCCCCGTGTGAGGTTTGTGTATTTTAGGTAAAAGGTAGAATTCTGGTTTGCAGGGATGGGGGCTTGGTTCAAGGAAATCATAGAATTGCTGTGTGAAGATTTCTACTTAGGAGGTGTGTTAAGAACGTTGTAATCATCAGGGTAGATAGCAGCTGTGTTCCATCACGGTCTAGTTTATGGTAGTGGAGAGGGTTGGACAGCTGATTGTTAGCTTCCTCAAGGTAAGTCTATAGACCATAAAACAATGGCTCCCCCCTTTTTCAGCGGGTTTGATGATTAGGTCTTTGTGGGTGCGTAAGGTTTTTATGCTATCAGTTTCTATTGGGGTGAGGTTATGGGGTGTGTGGTTAGCAGCTGATCTTTTGATATTGTTGATATGAACAGAGATTTGATCAAAATATTGTTGTAATTGGGGGGAAACATCATCAGGGGGAGACATCATCAGGGGGGACCCAAAATGATTTCTTTCTAAAGGGTTGGATGGGCTGGTGGCTGGGGGGGCTGAGTCCCCAATTATTATCAAACTGCAGTATATTTCCTTTATAACAGTGTACTACTAATAATGATAATAATGATAATAGTGATACCACTTCTCCACTTCGGAGCAATTACTACTTACCACAATTGCAGTGAGGGTAGTAATACGGGTTTTGGTTATTTTTGTTTTTTTTCCCGAAATTGCAAAATTGTTCCACACATTTGTTTATGTTACTAACTAACTTTCGATTATTTTCCTGTAAGCTACCTATTTTTGGCAAATCGTTTTTGCAAATAGCGGCATTCCCACTTGTGCTCCTCATGTTCTCTACACCTTCTGCATAAAGCATTTTCATGTTTTCTCGTGTAATTTATCTTCAAGTCGGTCATGTTTAATTTTAGTTTTAGTAGTTCTGCACCTTCATTCATCATTGTGTACTGAATGGGAAGCAGTACAACTCTTAGCCAACCACCCCCCCCCCCAATCCCCCCAATATTGTGAGAGGTTTCCCTCGAAGAATCAAGATGCATAAAAAGACGCTCTTGTTACGCTTTTGCCATCTCGGCAACAACTCCTTTTTCATGTAAAATAACTCACTTAGATAATAATATACAAACAAAAGATGATTAAGGGCTAAGAAAATGTGATAGGTTCATTCATTTAATTAAACACGAAAACGAGACAACGGATGCTAAATTGTCCGATCATATTAAAGGAGGCTATTCCTGTTACAATATGAATTTTTTTCCTGATGGCACTGATTGTAAAACTACATGGTAACATCATTGCTATGTTTAAACAATTAATAAGACAGAAATGGAAAACATTTTGAGATTGCATGAGTAAGAACAGAAGTAAGAAGACACTCTTTACGCTACAATGCCTGCCAAATGTCTTGGAACACTGACATCAATTTCCAAGGTCAAAATCAATCATCCCACTCTCCCCTACAGAACAATGTTGGTTTACTATCAAACGGGTTAAGATTTTAGGAAGTAATTTCTTTTGCGCTTCTTTTATGATATTTCTCTAAATCATCAACATTGTTTTAGGGGGAAGGGGGCGGAAGTAGCAATTTTTTTCATGAAAGGATCAAAGATATCAAATGCAGCGTAAATTGCTGGGTGCTCCAATTACCTTTGGCAGGCATTGTACAGAGGATATTCATCAAAAACTGCTCTTCCAACTGATATTACAATTTGAAAACAAGTTTTTGGTGGTACAAAATTTAAAATGTCCTTGATAAAAAGCAATCATCAAACTGTGTAATTTTAAATGTGAGCTGTAACACATATATTTTAAATTGTCTGGTATTTCCTTTGCTAGAGCTATAGAAGATGCAAAAGCTGGAAAACCGAATTAATTCAATCTTGTTTTCAAAACAATCAGGCCAAGCTGCAAAATTCTTTATTGGCGGCCACTTTTTTGCCACTGGAATTCCAGAAGAGTATTCTTATGTTAGAACCTCTGACCTCACTAAGGAATTTTCTGAATAATGTATGTATTATCCACCAAAGTGCTGTCAAATTGTTAATATTTCAATTTTTCCTCTGAACAGGGCCTGGCCGCGGCAGGCCTCATCATTCTTTCATTTGACGTTCCCTGGAGTGGTGCAGACGAAGTTAGCTGACACTAGCTTTCCCTCAGAAACAGGTATGGAAGTAGAAATTTTGTGTATAGAATAAATTGTTTCTATATTTTGTTGCAGGTAAACATATCATGCAACACTTTAATCTTGATTTGCCTACCCGCCCCCGCCTTGGTACACAACTAGGCAAGACAAAGAGCACATTTTGTCATATAGGCACAAGAAGGATCATTGCAACCCAAGTAGGGACTTTACCAGACCATCTTTTTCTTGATCAGTTTTTGGTGTAGAATTTGAATTTGGATGTTGATCGGGCTGGAGAAGACACTTTTCCGAGATACAGGGGGTTTCGTCCAAAAACTGGGATGCAGCCTGTGAATGAGCTAGCAATGGACACCCGAGCAACTTTTACGAGACTAGCAGTGAGTGCAGAATTAAAAGCTAATGTTGATCAGGTGGGAGATGATGCTTTGTCCAAAAACTGGGATAAAGCCTCCTGAATATAATATGAATAGATCAAGTTGTATTTCTTATTCATGTTTAGCAAAAATATCATCTACAGTGGACCTAGAGTAGCACTGCTATCAGCACTTGGGCAATTGGCTTAGGGAGAGGGATGAAATTAGTTAATCAGTTTGACCTGTGATTTGTCTCACAACGTTCTAAACTGAAGCCATAACAGACTTATATAAATTTGCTTATTTTGTACATATTATAAATTCAAGATGATAAGCTGCCATGTCTGCCGTGTCTTTATCATCTTCATCATAATCTGACTTAATCAATAGTTCTTCTTTTATTTCTGGATGTGGCTATTCTATCTGGTCTCTAAAAGCTCCCAACATAGTTGGAGCATTGGATGTGCTTCCTTATGTTGAAACTGTGTGGAGGCATAAAGATGGAACTGCAGATTTTTGTCCGTTGCCAATGTTCTTTGAAAAAGCTTTCCTCTTGCATCATTCACAGTATCAAGTCATTTACCCTACACATCCATCAAATGTACTTCTCAAAATCTTTGAAAACATTGGCACTTGGCTCAAGACTGTAAAAACTAATCAGCAAAAACTTTTTTTAAGGATATCAAGGGCCAATTAAAATAATCAATCATGAAGTTTATAGTCGGAAAAGATACAGTTGTTGAAACCATCGCAGATGACATGAAACCAATAGATATTATCAACGCAAAGGTCAATTCGATTGGCAGAGAGGTTGGTAAAAGTGGTATTATATTAATTTAATTGATGAAGAATGGTATCACAAGTTGTTTTAGTCTAATATCTTTAAACAATCTTTTGGTGGTACAAAACTTGTAAATAGCTTTGAAAAAAGCAAACATTTAGTAAACTAAAGCTTTAGTTTACTAAATGTTTGCTTTTTTCAAAGCTATTCTAATATCTTTATATATTTACAGGATAATTCCAACTCAGGCTTTCATTGTGACTTATGAATTATAGATATCAAAAAAATCCTTAGAGATGAAAGTAAGTTGTGTCCTATAGACATATCCCTGCAGTATTATTCTACTTTCTGAATAACAAGAATATCTCCTAGGACAAAGATGATGCTTTCTTCATCGGTGACCTCGGTGATATCATCAATAAGATCAAGAAATTCAAGCAACACCTACCCAATGTTGAGCCATTCTATGGTAAGACACCTTTTAGGAAACTTCATGTCAACTTTTCATCTTTGTTTTTTCAAAGTATATGAAATTGCACCTTTTATGAAATTGCACCGAAGGCAACAGTATTTTTAAAGACAATTAATAGAGAATGGGGGGAAATTACCGCACTCTCTATTAATATTAATTGCATGTCAACTTTTCATCTTTTTGCCAAAGTGTATGTTACTCAGGTCCTATCCAGTATTGAGGGACCAAAGTATTGGATAAAACTGCAATCATTATATAAATGTTTGAGTAGATATGCTCACCAACCTGATTTTTGTTATGAAAAGTAACTTCAAGTCTCGATTTAAGTAATATGAAATATTTGTTACAGACCTGTCAACTTAAAATTTTCCAAAAATGGATATTTTCTAACACCAGAACTGATTGATTTGTAGAAAAAATTACCTATAAAACTTTTTACTAGGCAAGTTGTTATTTGTTAATTCCTAAACACTAGCAAAATGTTTGTCAGAAAGAATGTCATTATATAATCATTTTTAAAGTAAAAATACCACTGCTTACGGAAAAGGGAGAAACAGGGAGAGGTTTTACAAAACCGGGAGACTGAGAGGTAGCAAGAAAAACCTGGAGTATACCCGCAAAACTGGGAGAGTTGACATGGCTGTTGTTATGAAAATGTTTGTTTAAATGATTTTTCATTTGATGCTTGATGCTGTATAGGCCTAGCTGTGCATGTTGGTGTATAGAACTTGACAGTCACATCTCAAGTGTGATGTTTAATCAAGTATCAGGCATACCAAGTTATTAGTTATTAATATGCTAATAGTACATGCTTTCTTGTCTGCAGCTGTGAAATGCAACAATGAGCCTGCTGTGCTAAACCTTCTTAGTAACAATGGGCTTGGATTTGACTGTGCAAGTAAAGTTGAGATCCAGACAATGTTGAACCTTGGCGTATCACCAGATCGCATCATTTTTGCCAACCCCTGTAAGCAGACATCACACATCAAGTATGCAGCATCAAACAATGTCAGCATGATGACTTTTGATAATGAGCAAGAACTACATAAGATCAAAGCAAACTTCCCGCATGCTCAGCTTGTTATACGGATTCAAGTAGATGATTCAAAATCTCTTTGCCAAGTAAGTACTGTAAGTAAGTAAGTAAGTAAGGTAAAAGTCACTTTGGCAAAATCAAAATCACTTTGCCAAGGTCAAAATCAATTTTGCCAAGGTCAAAATCAATTCGCAAAGGTCAAAATAACTTTGCCAAAGTCAAAATCAATTTTGCCTAGGTCAAAATCAATTCGCAAAGGTCAAAATAACTTTGCCAAAGTCAAAATCAATTTTGCCAAGGTCAAATCACTTTGCCTAGGTCAAAATCAATTCGCAAAGGTCAAAATAACTTTGCCAAGTTCAAGATCTCTTTGCAATCACCAAAATTACTTTGTGCTGCAAAGGTCAAGATCTTTTTGCAATCACCAAAATCATTTTTCAAAAGTCAAAATCACTTTGCAAAAGACCAAATCACTCTGCAAAGGTCAAGATCTCTTTTCAATCACCAAAATCACTTTTCAAAAATCAAAATCACTTTGCAATGCATATTTATTGTTTTGGTAGGCATATCCATCAAATGTCTGGCAACTGAAACTTTCAAGTTGAAACACGTTGCTAGTTTTTTGTTTGGGTATTCAAAAATCTGGTTTGGAACCCACCTGGACCAAAGTTACTATTGGTTCTGGTATCTGGCTTTGATTATTTGATGGTGCTCTCTGTAATTCTCTAATGCTAAAAATTTCTTCTCATCACATAGATGTTGCACAAAGACTGATCACTGTAAACATTTCTGGAATAAAAGTCTACAAAAGTCCCCCAAATTTTTATCTTATAGCTTAGTGCCTGGAAAATGACTTATTGATGTAGATAGAATGAGCAAAGAGCTTCTTATTTTGTAAACTACTTACACAACAATGGGGAAACAGGTTTTGCCTGCAAACTGACACTCAGTTGCCTTGATGAGGGTGTTTTCTCAAGATTTATCAAAAGGCTCATTATTATGATACATGGGGCGGCTAGGCGTTCAGTTATAGAGCCAACAGACGGCATCAGAAAAAATTATCAAGCCAGTGTACTTAGAGCAGTGAAGATTCTCTATTTGTTTTTATCCAACAAAAGCATGTCACACAGATGGATCCCAAGTTATCTTGTGTTTCTATCTGAAATCTGAAATTAAAAATTTACCTTGTGTTTAGATATTTGGGTTTTTGTGTTAAATGATATGAGCCGAGTATCAATCATTACAACCTGCACATAAACAGCTTATACCTTGATATTTTTAGTTGGGTGTCAAGTTTGGTGTTCCACAAGGGAAGACAAGACCTCTCTTGGAGGCTGCTAAAAGACTCCAGCTGAATGTTATTGGTGTCAGGTAAGCGTCAGGTTGCCGTCAGCAACACTTTGGACTGGTTGGAACATTTTAAAGAGGCACCAACGCAAAATTTCGACCCCTGAAAATTGCAAAAAGATTTTGTTTAAATTAAATGGGGACAAAGGTTCTACTGAAAAATGGTTTTACATGCTTTATATCCCATACATGTTGTGTGAAATTAGCAACAGAAACTAGTACGATTGATATCCGACAATAATCGTGGAAGCTCTTGGGCGATGGGCTGCTCACGTCGATGAAATTGAAAAAGGTTTATATAAACAAGAAATAATTGAATCAGTCAAAAATAAAGTTTCGAACTGCTCCCAACTGGCCACTTCTAGGCCTACTAGGCATTAGATGCTATACTTTCCTGTTACAATGGTATTCAAACCTATGTTTAATAGAATTATATTACTCGCTAACCTAAACTGGTAAGAGCTTGTCAAGAATAGAAAATGTTTTTCCACATTCCTTATTTCTGCGACATGTTCGTTCAATATTGATTTGCTTTCAATTTTCAGCGAGCGCTCAATCAGCCTCTAGACAACCCGCACTCGCAGGCACTCGTACCCTTGCTTTGCTTGAACTTTCTTCCCCTAAATTGATCCTCTTCGGTATTTCAGACAACATTGAGCCTTTTTGTGATAGTGTTTGTTTTTCACATAACACACTAGAACGACAAAACTTTTTTTTGGCGATGCCAATGTTTTTTGCGTTAATGCCTCTTTAAAATACGGTAAGTGGGGAAGAACGATATAGGCAGCCATCTTTAGGATTTATTGTCATGTTTAAAGCGGTTCCTCTTTTATATCTTTTTAGTTTTATTAAAATAATTATAATAATAATAGGTATAGGCCTGGCCATGATTTCACGTTGTTTGAAATTAGCAACAGAAAACAGTACAATTGTTGCTTTGCCAACTTGCCGACTTGTTGCTACCATTTTGGTTCCCCGTAGTTCGCACACGTCACGTGATAGACCACGCATTCTAGCGCTTCTATTTCTATGGGTATAGGCCTGGCCATAAGACTTCTAACAGGAAGCAGTAAACAGCTCTCCTTGCAATATCAAGGTGGGCCTTTTGATGGTTGATAAGAATCGAAGCAAAGGAAAATTGATTTCGAGGAGAGCAATTTTCTTTGCAAAGCAATTTAGAAGAGCAATCTGTAGCCCCTTCAGCATTTGAGGAGAGCTTGGAGGGGAGCAAGAGCTTTGGCTCTCTTCAAATGGCCAAGCCTGATTAGGTATATAATGGCTAATGCTCTGTGTGAACAATCATCTTCACCGTGGAACTTAAGAAGTATAGTGCCACTATGATAGTGGCCAACATGTTATTCCTGCAGATTTTACTTTTTAAGGCATCTGCTTCTTGCTTCTGAACTGAATTTCTGCTAATCATGCTCACATTTGACTGACTGACCGTTCTCTCGTAGTTTTCACGTTGGTAGTGGCTGTTATGACTCAGAAGCTTTTTACTATGCTGTTAAGGCTGCAAGAAATGTGTTCAATGAGGGGGTGAGTATTTTATGCTCAATAGCATGCATTCCAGCCACAATTTTTTTTTGAGTGGCCTAAATTAGCAATGTTGCAATGTACTGGAAATATCCTTTCCGCCACAATATTTTATATGATTGTTTATTTAGCGAACAGTTATTACAACCGAAGAGAACGCCAGCGGTGTATTTGCTTTCTGGTTTCTGGGATCCTTTCGAATTAGTTCATGCCCCCTTGGTAGCAGATTTGCTTTGAAGCTTTAGTAAGCTCCCTCCTAATTGTGTCCTGTTTAAGTAGCTTCTCAAATAAATCTTTTAGGAATCACTTGGTTTCAATTTCACATTGTTGGATATTGGAGGTGGCTTCCCTGGTGACAATGCTGCTGCGATTTCATTCGAAGAGGTAAATAATTTCTTATATTTTTAATTTGGTGAAACAGAAAAGATTTGAGCATAAGCATAGATTTAATCAAGAGGATTTCTTCAAAAGCGAAATTTTCTCATATGAGAGTAGCAGCTTGATGATTAGCTGTCTATGGAACTAACATTGTTGAATGCTGTGTATATCAAGATTGTTGCCTACCAGTCTGTTATTTCGTATTATACAGTCCTCGGTGCCCCTTTAGGCATACCTGTATACACTTTAGCTTGAAAAACAGGACGATTCCAGATTGCAACTCCGAGTTTTACTCCTAATGCGATCAAACAAGAGCCTGTACTGTTCATGTCTACAGTAGGAAAATTAGCTGCTATAATTTTGTTTAAAAATTTATAAGTAAACTGATATTGGATCTCCCCTCTGTTACTCCACCTGTATCTTTATGTGTTTGCAATTACGAATGTGTATCTCCCACCCCCTATGTTATGGCCCCAGGATAGTCATAGTTGATGCTCTCCGGGGTTTGGTTAATGTAAAGTGGCGTGTAGTTACTGGTATTTTAGTAACTTGTCATTTAACCTCTAGAAATGTATAAAAACTCCCTCTATGCCTGAGTGACGTAATGCTTGATTCTGTTATTGCTTCAACAGTCTGCTGACCAGCTGAACCGTGCTTTTGCCAAATATTTCCCAGCCAACTGCGGAGTAAGAATCATTGCTGAGCCAGGAAGGTTTTATGTCTCCTCTGCCTACACCATTGTCTGCAATATAACATCGGTTAGGTCCATCACTGGTGAAAATTCATCCGAAAAGAGTAACCAGAAGGAGGTGGGCTCTTATTTAAGTTCTTATCTTTTCTCAAAAGGTTTATTGGTTCTGGATCCGGATATCCGGATAATCCGGATAGGTTCTGGATGTCATATACTTAGAAGAGCGCTCCCTAACCCTAGGCGACCTGTAATTCGTTAATGCAAGCAAAATAACTCCTCGAGGTGTATGACACAAGGTGAATCAGATTATCCTGACCGGATTCTTCAGTTTTGCCAGGTGTATTATTTGAACTTTAAGCTCTCGTCTTAGCATCACTGGTATGCAAATTAACTGATTTTCTGTCTTAATCTTTATGCGGGGATGTTTGCGGAAAATGTTAGGAAACGAAGTTTTAACATTTAGACTTCCTCTCGTATTTAATGAAGTGCTTCAACTTTCCATATAAACGAGATTTCCTTATATTTTTCCTTCCTTGAATTCTAAATTTCCTTTCACGCATATTTGGGGAAAGTGCTCGAAACAACGTAAAAATTTTGTGAAATGCTTGCTCAACTCAGCTACAGAATGCTATAGCACTCAGCATGACCTAGCCTTTACGATAAAATGCCCCCCCCCCCCCGTACACCTTTTGCAAAGCAGCACAATTTTTGTGTTGAACAATTAGATTATGCGATTCGAAAAAACATGAACACAGAATGATATTGGACAAAACTTTCATAACATCATAAGTACTCTTTGCTATCACTGGCAAACAGTGAGCCCACTACACCGCCCTCCACAAAACCCCAGTGCAATTAACTTTGGAAAGACAAGAACGATGCTAACCTCAATTATGGAATGACGGAATGTATCAACGCGCCTACGCAGAGGTCACGCGATTTGAATGTTACTAAGGTTCCTACGAAATGAAGTACCAAAATCAGTCGCACTCCTACGCGAGATAAACTGGCAATCCTGTGACAATCGCTGAATAGGGGGAGCCTGAAGGGTAAAGAGGATCGAGACCCCCCTTTTGAAACAATATATCATCCTTTGTCGATTGGAGCGTAGTGATGCCGTGTAAACAGAAGTAAATCCATTTCTGAATGAACGAATATTTAAACTGGATAAAACCACTTCAAGTTACAAAATCTGTTTATAAATGTGTGTTCAGTGTTACAAGATGATTCTGTTATCACATGATTCTGTAATTTTCGTATCAGTTTTGGTCAGTGAATCAGAAACCAAACGAATCCGGCGTAAAGTGAACAGCTTTTTATGTTTAATGTTTTTTATGTTTGTTTTCCTTGCAGGGTTTCATGTACTATGTTAATGACGGTGTCTACGGGTCTTTCAACTGTATTCTTTTTGACCACAATTCTCCTGTTCCAGAGCCTCTTGAAGTGAGTCTCTATTCAATTTTTTTTCTCTTTGGTTTTTTCAATAAGCAACTGTAAAATTTCTTTTAGATTTCCCTTGCGTTGAGTGGATTATTAACGATACTAAAGTAATTTATTAAGTGGCCATATCTTGTTAGAATGCACTGCAGTTTTTGGAAGGTTAATTTACTTACTCGGGAATGAAATACCAATGCAATATAAAGGACACAAAGCTCCCTCAGAAAAACTGCCATTGACATCAGAAGGTCAGTCATGAGGGAGAGGGAGTTGGGCCGTTGGTGCATCGGCGCAAATCGCTCAACCTACCATAAAGGGGTTACTAAGAGAAGTTACACAATAACCCCCAAGTATGATTGATAATTAAGAAAGAATGGACAGGAAAAGCCTCTTTTCCCCACTAATAGCCAATGCGCCATATTAATACCTAATAGCATCAACAAACGCTAAACAGCATAAAAGATGCCTAAAGGTATGAGAGGTTTTATCGATGCCGTAAAAGAAACTCAACACACAAAGCTATACTGAAAAGGCATTTCATACAAAGAAACAAAATGAGGGAGGGAGGGCTGGGAAAATACAATAAAACAGTCTAGTTGTATTGTGGCTTCACCAAGCTAGATGAGACCCACGCTATGCCAAACCTTAAATACCCCTAGATTAACCAAGGGAATAAAAACGCCACGAACCACACATCTTACCCTAGTTATACAAATCAAATTCACAGGAGGCCGAAAGACTCCCCGCATTGCCTATAAACTAGTAGAGCAGATGCAAGAAAAATGCGAGGAAGCGCGGCACAAGAAAACATAACGAATATGTAATAACAAAAATAACTTCATTTAATCATCATTTAAATGAAAACAAGTTTAAATCGTGGGCGAAAATGAGCGCCAGTATGCTTTGCATTTCTGCACGGGTTTGTGTTTCTACAAAAGAGTTCTCAAATGATTACGTCACACAAATCTACTTTTAGATTTATTTAAAATCGGATCCCATAACCTGAAAGAGTATTATAAAATACCGCTAAAATGTGCAATATCAGTTAAATGTGTTACGAATTGAACGAGTTTAGCAAAACGACCAATGTTATCCTCGCGATCAAAGGACAACGAATGAAAAGGGAAGAGTTCCGAGTTTCCTTCTGCCTTTAAAAAGGAAGAATTAGCTTCTATATATTCTACATAATGGTGGCATGTATAACAAGGTTAGGATTGACTACACATGTATAACAAGGTTAGGATTGACTACACGGATTTGGCATGCCACAACAACCGCAGCTAAAATGGGTCGGGAAAAATTTTTATTGGTATGCCATCAAGTGGAATTTTTTCTATACGGATAACACCCACAATGTCTGCGAAATAACAATTTCGGTCCAACATCAATCTGCTTAGGAAATATCCTCTTTTGTGTTACTCTTTCAAAAATAAGTGAATGAATATATAATGCAACGCAAAATGCTGTAAGGTAAAGTATTTGTGGCAGGCATATATCTGTATTGTTCTACGTTTTAAAATTCTGATTGACTTCTACCATAAAGAAATGTGGTTTTAGAAGTAAATATCAAAACCAAATCGAATAAATGTTCACTAAGTATGTATTAAGCAAATGAACATTTATTAAAAAAGCAAGAGCTTATAGGTTGTTTACGTCAATTCTATATAATCAATGGGTTTCTTAGAGTTTTCTGTAAAATTGCAATAAACTTGCCATGAAATGTTGCTATGACCCTGTGTGCATATCAATGTTGACCAATTTGTTAACATTCATGAGCAATGTACCTTATTTGATTTTAATATACCTTATTTTAAACGTAAACCCGTTTAAATTCGATGTTTTTGCATCTAGCCTTCTGAGGGAAGAAAACTGTTCCCATCAAGTATATGGGGACCAACCTGCGATTCAATGGATTGTATTAACAAGCGCACAATGCTTCCAGAAGTGAGTAGCGTTGCCTTTCTTTAGGAGCATGTTCACTCGCAAACATGTGCTTGTCTCCAGCTTTAGCCGCCAAGCATTTTCCATGGGCCTTTTCTCCATCATTTTGCTTTTAGAAAGTAGACATTTGCAGTCTGTGTAATTTAAGGTCGATTTGAGAAATAAATATAAGGTACCCCCAACTGTTATTTTCTTCAAAGAATCAAACATTAATTTCTGCAAAGATAATTTTGCAAATATAATTAGGTGCTACAAATGTAATGCTACAAAATTTAGAGTGTGCCTCCGTCCAGCGGTCGCGTGGTCGCGCACTTATTCCAGCCCTGGAAAAAAGTCGTTGCATATTGTCGATGTTGAGGTTTCAGTAGCACAGCTTGTAATAATGTAGACATCCAGTTGGAGTGCAATGAAGATTGAGACATGCCCGGACCATTTTTTAAAGCATTTTCTCTCCTTATACTCTAAGAGCTATTTTCAGAGTTTTTATTCTGAAAACCGATTTTTTGATGACATAACTTAACAATTCTTTGTCAATCGGGATAGATTTTTATCTTGAAAAGGTCGCCAGAATATCATTATATTCATTCATGTTTGCCATAGATGGAAGTCGGTGACTGGATATACTTTGTCAACATGGGTGCTTACACCTTATCTGCTGCTTCCACCTTTAATGGATTCATGAAGCCTCGTGTTCATTACGTTGTTGGTGAAATGCATAGCCCAGTACTTCGTCAGTACTATCGGCCGTTGAAAGAAAACCGAGGGCACGAATGCTTCATTTTGGAGGATAAACACAAGCTTGATCACGTAATTAAGTCAACAGAAAACATTTTTCTCATTTAAACAAACTGAACTGTGAGTGCGTGCCTAAATTTTCTCTATTTATGATAATCTTTTAAAATCCCTTGTGGTTTGGTTTAATTGAGATGGCGATTGCTCAAGAGAAAAAAACGGATGCTATCAAAATGACATTGACGATAAAAACAACCTCAAGATAGATAATAAAGGCCCAAATAGGCAAACGATATTTTTCGCTGAACGATCCTATTTGCCTTCTCTTGTACTGCAAAACGAATCACTGTTTCAATAATACCTTCTCTCGACATAGGGATTTCATTGTCTTTTCTTCACATAGATTATTATCTGATAACTGAGCAAGTGCTATCGCTACTCAATCAGCCAAGCTTTGGAATGCTCCTATTCTTGTCCTTCAACTTTAAAGCCATCCTAAGTTTCAACATCCAGTAAGACTTTCATTTCGCAAGGTTTGGCAGTTAGCTTATGATTCTTGGTGATGATACTTTGCTAACTGGTAGCCGTGTAATTGTTGTGCTTGTATTTGCATATCCTATATTTTGGATCAATAGTGTCGTTATAAAATGTGCCTGAAGATTCAGCCACGATTGAAACTGTTGTCTCTTGAGTTTTTTCTTCTGAATTTTACGTGGATGAATGCGATGATGCTTTCTCGATTTTCCCCGTTTCTCTCCATCTTCAATTAAAACTAGTCTTTTGATACGGAAAAATTTCAACAAGCAAAAGGCTATGCCTTTTCGTGGAGAAATTGGACCGTGGTGATTTTGTGTCATGTCAGAGGCAGTGTAAATGTCGTGCTATCGTTGGACTTGTAGTTGGATTGTTAATCAGACTGATAGTTGGACTGATACTTGGGCTGATACTTGGACCTGATTGTTGGACTGATAATTGGGCTGATACTTGGACCTGATTGTTGGACTGATACTTGGGCTGATACTTGGACCTGATTGTTGGACTGATAATTGGGCTGATACTTGGACCTGATTGTTGGACTGATACTTGGGCTGATAATTGGACTGGTAGTTGGACTGATAATTGGACTGGTAGTTGGACTGATAATTGGACCTGATAGTTGGACTGATAATTGGAATGATAATTGGACTGAAAGTTGGGCTGAAAATGGACTGATAGTTAGACCGATAGTTAGACCGATAGTTAGACCGATAGTTAGACCGATTGCTGGACCATTAATTGGACTGATAGTTAGACCGATAATTGGACTTATAGTTGCCCTGAAAATTGAAATGATAATTAGACTGATAATTGGAATGATAGTTGGACTGATAATAGGACCTGATAGTTGGACTGATAGTTGGCCTGATAATTGGAATGATAGTTGGCCTGATTATTGGACTGACCGGGGTAAATTGAGGAAGATGCCTGCTTTTCTTCGTGGCCCAGCCGATTATTGTTTTCAAAGCTTGCAGGATGAACAAAAGGATACCTATTCCACCCATCTTCGTCAACTTTATTGTCCATTTGTTCACCAAGAACGCTTTTTCCATATGACCCAACAAAGACCCCGCTGTTTTCCTTTGAAAGCTGTAAGAGGTCTAATGCCGACCCCGACCTGGCAGATAAAGCAAAACAGGCCTAACTGGGCCCCCAGTTCATCGGCGGTCTGCCAACCGATCGTACCTTTGTGACTGCTAGAGCGCATTTCGTGTTTTTTCCCGACGCTTTTCACTGGCCATTTAAATTTACCATTGGCTGGACGATATAATAGAGACATTGCTACGTATCCAATCGGTTAATTCTCAATGTTTTCTCGATTATAAACGCGCTGCAAAGCCTGTTGTCAACTCTGAATGGTTAACTGACGGGACATAGTGTTTTTTTGCATACTTCTCTACAATCAGCTATGCAACCACCGTATCCCGTGAGATGCGAGTGCATGCGTTGCTTGTATTTGCGAACACTCACTTTTGGTATTCGGCTGCTTTGTGCTGCTTTGTTGTGCTGCTACGAGCCCTTCGCAAAGACTTGTAAGTATCTTTTCTATTTTTAACAAATTTCTTACAAATAGATAACCCTCACAGAAACTCTGTTCAAATAAATTTTCCTTCTAGGTAAGATAGACGATATTCATTTATGTTATCCACACGGCAAGTAAGAAGTACGCTGAAGTGGGTATTCAATTCTTGGAGAGAGTCTCTATATCTGAACTGAACAGCTCAAGTCATTGGCATGTTACAATAAAAATCAGCAAATTTTGTGAATCATGAATAACAGGTTGACGGATGCCGATATGCCGAATGTCGAGTCACGGGTTTGTGGTTTTCCGAATGGTTTATTGACAAATGGCAGAATGCCGAAGAGTGGAATGGTAGCAGTGGTGTAGTGCTATCAGAATAACAAGGGGGGCTCTTGCACAAAAATGTTGCAAAAAACAATAGCAAAAGTAGAAATTTGCCAATTATTGGCATTTGCAAAAAGGGCTCAGCCCCCCCTGAGCCCCCTAGCTCTGCACCCCTGAATGGTAGATGCATGATCGCAAACCATGAAATGACTGATTGCAGAATGATAGATGATCGAATGACAAAATGATGTTTTACAGCGAAAATTGGCATTTGGAATTCACAAAATGAAGTTTGACACATCAGCGAATTACGCAATATCATCTGGGGTCGTTAAATTTTCTATTGCGTGAATGTAAAACCTCGGGATGCTGCATTTGCCTGATTCATGAAATGCAGTTCATACATTCAAGATTTCGATTGCTTTGTTTTGTCAAAAATGACACTCTTCATTTTCACGCAACAAATGATGATGAATGGCGCGGATCTCTCACATAGAACGCTTAGAACGCACAGGCTGATGGATAACATTGCCAAATGATAAATTTCGATGAGTTCAGATCAAGATAAAAAGTAAGAAAACAAACTGGTTATGATTCCAAGGTTCTCTCAATCAGTCATATCAGTGAAACAACAATTTATATTCAAGCAAACGACTACTAAATGATATCCATAGTATATTCATGAAACATATTCAATATTAATTCAGTACACGCGTTCGTGTTCCAATCGATAAATCAAACAATCCACATTCAAGCAATCCCTCAATCAAATCCATCCTCCCGAATGCCTCGACGAATGCCCTTTATATACAACCCGGAAATAAACAAAACAATTCTCATTATTAACAGCAGTCCTCCGCAAAGTCTTCATGTTTTCTAACACAGGCCACAGCGGCCCATAAGTGTAAAAATGGAAAAAAAACCTTCATCTTAGCTAAGAATTATAGACTGATAGTGGCTGGGGGCTCGGTTTTTGAGGTTTAAAAAAACTTGGTTTTGAGGGTCTGGGCTGAATTTCCATATTTGGTCATATTTAGCAAAATAACTGTTTCGACCAAAACTTGGCAAAAAATTATCGCCTGAAAGTGGTTAAGGGCTCGTTTGAAGCAGAATTTAAGGCTCTGGATGGCTAAGAGAAAACCATTCAAAAAACCTTTTAATTCTTCTCTACAATCAGCTACGTCATTACGGTATCCTATGAGAGGCGAGCGCATGCGCTTGGTAATTACGAACATTTGTTTTTGGCATTCGGCTGCGTTTTTCTGTGCTCTCTTCGCAAAGACTTGTAAGTACAATTTCCTTATTATGTGTATATTTTTTACAAAAAATAGCCGTCTTTTTCAAGATTATTGACATACTTTTCAGCTAAACTTTTCCTTGTAGGTAAAATGGAAGATAATAACCCGTAGACTTACCCTCAAGAAAATGAGGTTGAGATTAGTAGTGCAAATCAAATTAAGTCTCCCACGACTGCAAATTTAAACCAAACTCTTTCAGACATAAATTCAAATTTGAGCTGCATGTTAAGAATACTCATTAAGCTTGCATTGACGGATCCAGATGAACCCTTATATAGTTTCTCGATCGCCCAACGGGCGTGAATTTTAGTCCACCGGACAAACTGACCTTTTCTCTACCCGGAATTAGAAAAACTGTCCACCGGACATAAAGAGCAATCTTCCTCCACCGGAGTTTCCTAGAATGAGCCCACCGGGAATAGCGATAGTTTTCCCTCTCCCACTGGACTCTCTAGGGGTAAGCGCCCTCTAGGTCTTGCCTTATCATCTAATCATTCCAAGAAAGTGTGTTTCTCTGGAAATGGTAATTATGATGATGAGCTAAGTTTGCATGCACCGAGTGATGATGAATGTGCCATCTCCCTTTCTGATGCGGTTAACGACCTTTAATCGAACGAAAATCGAAGAAAGCCAACAGTCAACGAAAAGTCACTACTTGATAAGCTTGCCCAAGCACTTGAAACTCCATCAGATGTTGCTGATAATGTTGACCCCAAACTAGCCTCTTTATTAAACTCGCGTTGGGGTAAGGCTCTCCCTTCAGAGAAACTTTCTCCTATACTTGAGAAATATAGCCGCCCTGAGAACTGCACAAACCTTTTTTCTATTAAGGTAAACAAAGAGGCATGGTAAAATTTGTCTGTGGATAAAAAACAACACGATCTTCGCTTGGCTAACTTGCAACAAACGTTTTAAAAAGTTGCCATTGCTGTTTTACAAAACACTGACTATCTCCTAAGCTCAAAAGATTCTGATAGAGCAAACATTGACAAACACGTTGCGAGTTCAGTTGATGCTCTTGCACTCCTTGGTCATGCCACAGCAAAAATTCCAACCCTAAGGCGTACTTCTATGAAACCAGCCCTAAAACAAGACTACCAGTCTCTCTGTACCAACCTCTCAGATTTACCGCAAAGCCCTTTTCTCTTTGGTGACGATTTCGGTAAAATTGTTAAAGACGTTAAAGAAGTAACAAAGATTGGTAAAGTTTTTAAACCAAACCCTAGATCAAATTTTCATTCTTCACCCTCAACACGGGGACATTTTACCCGCTCATACCCTACCAGGGCACCGATAAACAGCCAACCTTTTCAACAGCGTGATTTTTTATGGTCGGGCCATCAACGTCCTCCGTTCAGGAGAAAGCCCTACAAGAAACAATACTCCCAGAACCATCAAAACCAAACACCACACCGTCGAGAGAAACAGTCCTGAAAACATTAACAAATACTTTAACTGTAAGTGAATTTTTCCCTTTTCTACCAATGTTAACCAATCTTCTTAGTTGCGAATGTACAAACTTTAAAGCTGGCAGGGTTGCAACATTCATTTCTCAATGGAAACAATAAACTAGAGACAATGAAATACTCTCTTCTGTTTCTGGGGTTCACATTGAATGTGACACGACCCCTTTTCAGGTAGCTTATAAGCCCACAAATTTCAGTGCAACTGAAAAATAAATTATCGAAGCAGAAATTTTATCTCTTCTCTCCAAAGGTGTCTTGGAGAAGGCTATGTCTGAACCCCGTGAAATGGTCTCATCAATATTCTTAGTCCCTTAACCTGACGGAACATACCGTATGATTTTAAACTTGAAACAATTTAATACCAATGTTATCTATAGACATTTCTAAATGGATTCACTTAACGTTATAACGAATTTGATATCACAAAACTGCTTCATCTCGTCAATAGACTTAAAAGATGCCTATTAGAGCATTTCTGTTGCTAAACCACATCGCAAGTTTCAGAGGTTTCATTTTGATGCTCA